AATGGGTGATCCGTTCAGTCACCTGTTAGTGCAAAGTCTGTGCTTGAAGTCGCCTATTAATATAAAGTCAGTATTATAAGTCATAACAATTATTAATTTTTACTGATAATTACTAATAATCTTTTCCTCTCTCTAGAAAAGGAGAATAAAAATAATTGGATTTATTTGGATATCACATTTATTGTGTTGTTTTTGGAAAACTTGAGGATTAATTTCTTGAATTAGGGTGTTCTACTTTCGGCTGAAGTATGAAAATTTTAGATATAGTTAAATATTTTATAAGCTCTCATCTAACTGATTCTATGTGTCGCGTATCTAAAACAGTTTTTTTAATGATCTGATGTATTGTGTACATCGGTTATTCATAGATGTATTCGCCATGATATTTAATTAATATCACAGTTAGTATCCATATAAGTGTAATGAAAATGTAGACTACAAAAAGTATTTGAGGTCACCAATAATGTCTTGAAATCATTGGTTAATAGTAACAAATATCTAAAGGGAAGAGGTATCGTTGTGTAGAACTCCTTAAAACTAAAGGTAACTGGCTCGTATTTGCCTTATACAGGCTACAGAACTTGCAAAAGTAGCCTGACAGTTCATCTGCTTGAAGCCGAATTCAAGCTGAACCAGTATTCCATGGCTTTAGTTACTCTTAACTTACGAATCGCATATGCTTAAAAATACATAGGCACATAGCATTATGCATATTTTAAAGTATCGAAAGTTGTAAACGGCTCGTGTTGTAATAGGCATACTGGAAAATTTTGATGAAGATAGATCTAGCCTTTTACTATTGTACTCTGTACATACAGTATAACGGATTTTGGTTCAGTAAGAAGCTTATTTATGGCATTCTACCAGTGGACTGAGCGGTTAAAGGTATCCTAGTACTTCGTCTTGGATTGAAGCCGAGTTTGAACGCGCTACCTGCATGTTTGGTTTTTGCGGTTTTCTTCGTGTGTAACGTGAATGCGAGCCAGTTTCTTGTAAAAAGTTCTCCTCGAAGGCGTCCCTTCTCTCAGCCAGTTACCCTCGTGTACTTTGCCACATTTAACTAACCTAACCTCATTTAGCGAAGTGCTTTTGAGCTGCTTGATCTATAATATATATTGGAAGGTCTTAATGCTTTGCATACTTAAACTGCTACATATGCCAGTTTTTCAGTTTTTGCGAAATTACTTCAACGTAGTTACGCAATCTTAGTTAGGTTTAGAAACTATTCTTCTGTGAAATGCATTCCAACATGGGACTATATTTTCCATGTATATAAAATACGGACTAAATCTATTAAGATTGTCTTCCACGAAAATGCCCTTGAAAAATGTTATGAGTTCAATAATAATTTGAGTTATACGTGATCTAAGTGTTCTCTTATTTAATCATTAGCTTCAGCATATACTAAAGGAATGGTGTAGTGTTAAAGCTATTCAAATGTTTTTAAACTGCCGCGTGAATTTGCAAATATAGACGAAAGCGTTTGTATTAATACATGTTGTAATGTGTATAAACAGAACTGCTCATTGTTTATGGTAATTTATTTTCAGTAAGTGTTATGACATGCCGCAGCGGTAATTTCTTTTAAATGGCCCAACTGCAGCCAAGCGGTTAAAGTCATTGAACACTGGTAGTTTGGTCCGAAGCTCAAATCCCGAGAACGGGCTGGCTGCATAGACGTTTTCTTGGTTTTCTCCATATTTAACGTGTATACGAGCCAGTTGCCCTTAGAAAGTCTTCCACGAACGCATTACTTCCCTTAGGCTTTGCCTTAATTACATAAACAAAACCAAACGTATTTCTTTTTAAATGAGGGCTGTTTTTTACGAAACATTTTGCCTTCAGTGGCTTTTTTAGTTTAGCAGTTATTTAGCTGTATCTACAGCAGTAACAAATATGGGTTATTTCAAAGTGCTATATATTTTAAAATTCATTGTTCATAATGTTACGGGCATGTTACAACGATAACTAAAACATGTTTTGCATTCATAAAGCTTAAAATAGCATTTTGGAAGAATTTTCCATAAAATATTTTCCCATAAATTTTTTAAGTCTTGGAAGGTAATAAGGTTAAGGAGAACTTTGCGAGCACTCAAAAGAAGCAACAAGTTCGCTAGAGTAGGTTTTCAGCATTGTTAATGTTTCAAAAAGTTGTGAAGATTATCCTAAGTTGATTTAATGTATGAAAATGATATATACTCCTTAGAGAGTTTACAATATATCTTGTTAATTTCCCTCGAGCTTCGAAAAAAGGATCTCAAGGATTATCAGTTAGTCATTTAATATAATAAATACTGCATGATAGGAATTAATTTATACACGATGGGCTTCAGCTGCTTTCTTTACATAAACAGGAGAAACATCTTTCATTTTTTGAAGCATGTTAAAATTTCATATTTATTGAAGCTTTTTTTAGAGGCGCAATATTGAATGGCTAGTTGTTTCATGCACTTAATAAGAGTTTAAGAACTTAAATTGCTGAAGTTTGATTAGCAATCATCTAAATTCATGTTAAATTTATCCTTCTAATTTGCTTTTATAGTGTATTGTTCAAAAATCGGGGGAACATTTTATGTCGTCGCGTAGTTTATTCGACATTTTTACTGTTTCCATATTGTCTTTTTCATGAAGTAGATAATTGTTCTCATATCATCGAAGACAATGAGCAGTAATTTCTGTTCAAAAGAAAGCAGTTAAAATTATTGCAGTTGTTAAAGATTAATTTCAAAAGAGGTGAAAGAAGTCTTTGTGAAGCAACTAATGTTTAAAATTCCCACAGTTTACCTTGCACATTGTTAATAAAGGTTTCTTTTGGATCTGTTTTCATTTACCAACTTCCCTGCAAAACTTCTCACTGTGTATAATAATAAAGTATCTATTGTCCACAGATTAGATTCAATTAAAGTTTAGTTTTTACTAACTAAAAATGGGTGTTCAAAGTTAAAAGGTAATATGCACGACAGTCACTAAGAAAAAAAAATTTTAGACCTTATGTCTCAGTTCGAACTGCTGAAATTTTAATCTGATAAACTTTCCATATTCTCATTTTACTTTTGCTGGATTTTGAAAAATCCAGATACAGGCCTTTTATTTCATTGAATATTGATATGTAATTTTAGCACATTTTCTCAAAATGGGGTTTCATGTGAAAGCGCTTCAGATTTGTGCTCGAAAGAGGCTCTGTAAATATAAAATTCAACAATCGTTTTTTCTCCGTAAAGAAAAATTTTCTTTCGGTAAAATGGCTATTATGCTTTAAATTTTTGAAAACAAATATTTATTCTGAAATAATTTTCGTTTTATTTTTCAACTTTTATTTTCGATGGCTGGTTAAATACAGCAACGTATTCGAGGGCTTGTTTTTATCTAAGAGAAGGAAGCATTCAGGAAGGACTTTGTAAGGGATACCGCCTAGTATTTAACTTATTCCAGGGCCAAAAATTGAGTATTCAACGAATGAACTTCAGCGAACAAAAGAGTATTCAGCAGATTTAGATGTTAGGCTTTTTATGGCCTAACATTTAATTTGAATACAGAGCTTATTTTCTAGTCCCTTCGAATTAAAAAAGAAATAGTGGAAGTTTACATTAATAATTTTGCTGCATGTTCATATTTTAAAATAACAATTTAAGCTTATTTTTAATGCAATTTTCGTTGCCAGAAAGGAACTTGATATATTCTATCGTTGAAATGAAAATTTTTATTGAAATCCAGGATTTCAGTTTTCGGCTGTTTTGGTTATCAGAAGTTAAAAATCTCTCATACGATTAAATTTGAAATCGAGAGTTGTTGGTACTTCTCATTTTTTAAAAATTACTAATTATCTCGATCTTTCGTACTGATTATATATCACTGTTCTAAAAACACTTACGTTAAACAATCGATTGAACTATTTATATTTTATGGATTTAGTATCTGAGATAAGAACGTCTGCAGATTGTGTAAGCAATGACTGTAAGAGTAGTAATTTGTCAAAAGTGGTCAAAATTTCAAAACATTAGGCAATCTGTAAACGTCCGGAATTTATTCAATACTTTCCTGGTGCTACTTTTCAAAATTTCATGAGCTTCGGCACTTCTGCTTTGGAAGAGTGATTTCATGTAGAGCAGCCAGCTGAATTGAACTGTAGGTAACAGAGATTTTAATTCACCAAAACTGGTTTAAAAGAACTTAGTTTTTATGCGTCATGATTATTTCCCTATATTTCCTTTAAATAAAATTTAAAAGCTGAAAAAATTTCTGTTGACTTTTGTGCCTTATGTTGTCTCTCCTACGAACACCAATTTAGATTGGAAACTGTTCTCCAAATCCTTATTTAAAAGCTGAGTCTTTCCTGAATTATACTCTTGCAACATCACGGGAGAATTTTATTAGATTTTTAATCATTTATGGTGATAATATTTAAAATTTCAAGTTTTGGTGAGGTTTTGTTTTGTTTGATTTTTTTATTTATTTTTATTTATTTATTGGCGCCTATGGAAAGCGATACCATGAGCATTTTAAGTTTTTAGTATAAGTATGTTATATTAGATGTTTTGGTTGGAAATACAATGGTAAACTGTAATTTGTATTTTACTGAGATGTGCAAACATTTCAACCTACAGAATCTGTCCATTTCTTAGAAATGAAACGTTCTTAATAGCTTAAACGCTTAAAGATATTCTCCTTGATAATCTAAACGCTTAAAGATATTCTCCTTGAGGTACAGACTTTGATACATTGATGGTTGCCAGTTTTATTAGAGCTGCGGTTAAGAAAAGAGAAAAAAGGTTGAAAATCATCGCTGTTAAAAGGGCGATGCTTATTATTTAATGTCTTGATAACTGATAGGAAAATTAATAATTGAAATTGTTTCTAGTAGTTTCCTATATATTTTGGATTATTTTGAGTAAGTTAGGAGATATGTATGATTCATTCTAAATTAAGTGAAAACTGTGTGTCATTTTAAATTTTTTGGTAGGCAATGTATTTCCTTTGCTAATGTATTTCTTCTTTTGTAGAGGATATACTACCTATCTTTGGAGTATTACATGGGTCGAACGTTATGTAATACCATGATAAATCTCAACATCCAGAGTGCTTGTGATGAGGCCCTATATCAGGTAATTTTGTTTTATAGTATGTCTGTTTATTTGGTTATTTCTTATATGGCAGAAGAGAGTGCAGAGAACCTTTTCAATTCCTTTTAAATCTATTTTCTGTTCCTGCCGTACTGGTGGCATGATTTTTTTTTTTTTTTTTTCAAGACGAAAGACTCATTTAGTGCATTTATTTCAGCGTTAGTTTAATTTAATCTTTGATTAATTTTAATTTATAAAAATATGATTTAAAAGTTTTATTTACGGAGTGCTGGAAGATTTGAAATGAAAACAAAAAGCAATTTTCTCTTTTCTGATAGTAGGGATTGCTTTTTGTCTAGAGTTCGATCATGGCTAAACTCAAAATGAGCCTCTAGAAATATCTCGAAAAAACAGAAATAAAATTTAATTTTTTTTTATTTTTGAAATTTAACTAATTTGCTTCTTAGTAGGTCAGATGTAATTTGTCTTCATAAATGTTGTATTAGAAATCCTCAAATATAGCTTGGCACTGGACGTGATTTTTAGCAGTTTTTGTTGCGAAACAAAGTAGAAGGTATATTAACGAAGTCCGAAAAAGAAATTGTCATCCATCTCTAATTTTTATAACATCAAATGACTACGAATCTTTGATTGAGAAGAGGCATTATTCGACAGTAATTTGGCTTTAGCGCGGCACTAGTTCGGCATTTGAAACTAGCAGATGTTTTCCCAAGCTCGCGATAGATGGCAGCACAAGCACCAGTGTTCGATTCAGCTTAAATGATGTATCAGGCTTCATTAGTTAATGTAAATACACTGCATGCATTTAAATTCTGAAAACTAAATATATTCATATGTACAATTACTTCTTCTAAATATAGTATAATTTTTATTCTATTTTGATATCACCTGCTTGAAATGCTGAAATAAAATATGTGTAACTGCTGACTTGGGGAAATTTGACTTAGTTTTGTTTTTGTGGACTGACTGTGATTGCTTATGGCACAATTTCTGAAATTGTGCAGAATCCTTATGGACGTTTATCTGAAAGCTGAAAGAAAGGGAAATAATGAATTAAACAATAAATCATGAGTAATTAAAGTTAAAATATTAAGTCATAATTAAATTCATGTAACAAAATGCATAAAAAAATAGGAGGAGGGAAAAAATCTTAGGACACATGGTGATGAGGATAAAATGTATGGAAATATTTTGGGCAACATTTAAAATTTCATTAAACTCTTGTTTCAGTGAAGTTTAAATTTATTTTATATTTTATTCATTAATTATTTTATATTGTGTGTATTTTTTTATTTAAATATATCCTAAAAAGTGTATTGCCAAAAAAAAAAAAAAAAAAAAGGGGAAGGAAGAGAGAATATTACCATGAGGAAGTTGACTATAGAAACGTAAAATAATGTACTAAAATTGCTGAATATGAATATTGGTGAGAATGAAGTATAGCGGCAGCCAACTCCTGAATTAATTTGGATTCTACAGTTACTTACAATCAGAAATTTTATTTTTCTTTTATACATCTTGTGTACAGCATCAATGCTTTGTGTTGTGATAAATTTTTGTCTCTTTTGAGTGGCAAATTTTATTTTGGATATGATGAGTTGTCTTCGGCTGACGCTAACAAATTTACCTTATAAAGGCAGGAAAGTGATTGACAAGTGCATTCTATGACTCTAAAAACTTCCCCGGGAAAGATAATCATTTGCTGTTAACTTCAATCATAATAAATGTTCAAGTAAATATTGTATGAAAGTAATTGCAACTCGTGCTAGTATTACGATTCAGTTTGATAACGGAGAAATACCGGAATTCAACCCATTTTGGGGCTGTGGTGCGGTCCACCTGCAGTTACGGTTTTAAGTAAGAGTTTAAAACTGGAGCCGGACAACACTATGCTCCAGCTGAATTTAAATCATTGCTTATAATATGTTGGTTTTTAACTTTATAACAGACAAAACGTGTAGGAAAAAATTGCAAAAAAAAAGTCCTACAGTTTTCATACTTTTAGAGGTTTTTGATGTTTCAGTTTTGTTTATAAGTGTTTCATTATAGTGTGAAGATGCTTACAGGTTGGTTTATTTAATTAAGGGGCTATTTGCCTGAGCAGAGGATGTTTTCCTGATGGACTTTCTAGGGGTAACTGCTCTCGTATCCATATTACACACGAGAAACCCCACAAAAGCGTTCCTGCAGCTGGCCAGTTTGCCTGTAATCGAGCACAGGACGAACTACCTTTAAACATTCGGCCGCTGGTGGCTTTTTTAAAATGTTTAAATTTACGAAGCAGAATTTCTTTTGAATTTCATACGATAAGCATGGTTTGATAAAGCTCCCATTCTGGCAGAAGTCTGGCTCTGCAGGCGATTATAATTGTCGTGTCAGGGAGTGTAGTTCTTAATACCCTAAAATTTGCATTAGGCAGTTTGTGTAAGATAAAAATTTTGTGCTATGAAGCCTGACCATTACACTGCTGAGAAAAATTGAAAGTACAATTAAAGAAAAAGTATGATTTATTTTATTTTGGAAAATTTTTAAAAATGTATTAAGACCTTTTTTGACATGTTTGATACACGTTCAAAGCATAATTGCGAGTTCTTGAAATTATTTTTAAATGTTGTAATGTTAGATTTCACATATTGACTAAAACATTTTGATATTAAATATTGTTTATATTTGTCGACAGTTTTGATTTACATGATCATCATTGGCAGAAATACAAGCTTCACATCAATTTTTTTCATGGTTTTTATTAGACTGTCCAAGGGTAGCTGCAGTACTACAGCATATTCATGCTTAATCATATTCTGAAGCTTCTGTGGTAATATTAGGTGTGAATGGGCAGTGGTGAAAATCAACGTCTTGTGTTCCTGTCATATGTTAAATCCAATTTAAATCCAGTGAATATTTAGACTACTGCATTTTGCTTGATTCATGGCTTTCAAGATGACCTGAAACAAACAAGGCTTGTTGTAGCTGTCACATATTACACTTCTAAAAGGCTTCACATGGGTAGCGAGAAGTTCATCTCTGTAGCTTTCAGTATTCACAGTTCATTGAGTAAATCTGTAGCCATTTAGAATGACGCCCGCTTATTTTATGATTATGCCATCATATTATCAATGGCTTTCGATCTTAGGACTACTGTGTCCTCTGAAATTTTAACACCACTGAAGTAACTTTTCTATGACTCATTAGGCTCCAGTCTAAAGTGCTTCACTTCGGTGCTTTCTTCACCGGTATAATTAGGCTCATTTCGCAGTCTAAGTCAACAGCAGACAAAGCATAGGTCTGCTTGCTTAGAAGGTCTGTTTTACAAAGAGTTTTACTCACGGTGTATCAGGATATCCAAGATTTTGTAACCAGTAAATTTCTTACTGATTCAGAAGTCAAACAACAAAAATCAGCGTTAATTCACAAAATTTTCACAGGACTAGTTTCGATGGTTTTACCGAACCATCATCTTCAGCTGCAAAACCGCAAATGAACAAGATAGGAAATAATGTTTAGATATAAAAAAGCCTGGACAAGAATAAGCAAGTGGCGCCATCTGTTAGCGAAACCAGAACTAAAACATAATTTCTCTAAAAGCCGAAGGCAAATTTGGGATTGGAATTAGGATCGTTAACTAGAACAGAAAGATTTTTATGAATGTGAAATGCCTCTAGAAAATCCAGTCTCCAATGGAAGATGTTTTTTGAATAATTTTGGCAGCAGAAAAATTGAAAGTGTGATTTTCGGACCAACAATGTTGAGCAACAGAAGACTTCTGTGTTTCCTTTTTTCTAACATATGCCTCATGTTCTTTGACGCGCGAAATTTAAGGCTCTCTAGTTTGGCCAATGTAAATTAAAACCGCACTGGCCAGGAAATCCCTATAAATAACCCCAGGAATTCATATCGGGGATGGGGTCTTGTAGTATGAAGTTGGCCAATTTTAATCTGATTGGGAGAGTATTTTTTAGTTAAACCTTCAGTAAACAAACGCCGAAAAGTTAAATTTTCTGCAAAATCATGTGCAAACTTTTAGATAATTGTGGGAAGAAGGGTTAATAGACAAACGAATTGTCTATACCCCTTTCCCCTTTTCTTTCCACCCCCCCTCCCCCTCGTTTTCCTTTCGCCTTTTTTCCCTCCCTCCCCCTCTTCCCTTTTTTACTCTTCCTTTTTTCTCTTTTCTCTTCCTCTCCTTCCTTTTTCTTTTTTTTTTTTTTCTTTCTTTTCTTTCTCCCTTTTCCTTCTCTTCTTTCTTTTTCCTCCTCCCCCTTTCTTCCCTCCCTTTTCTCTTTTTTTTTCTTTTTTTCCTATCCCCTGCTTTCCCTTTCTTCTTCCTTCCCCCCCCTTTTTCTCTTTTCCTCCCCCCCCCCCCTTTTCCTTTTTTTTCCCCCTCCTCCTCTTCCTTTCTTTGTTTTCGTTCTTCCTTCCTCTTTTTTTTCCTATTCCCCCCTCTTGCTTCCCCTTTCTTCTTTCTTCTTTTTCTCCTTTTCCCTTTTTTTTTTCCCCCCCCCTTTTTTTTTTTCTCCCTGTTTTTCTTTTTTTTTTTCCTTCTACCCCCCCCCCCCCTTTTTTTTTCCCCTCTTCCCCTCTCTTTTTTGTCCTCTCTCCTTTTTTTCCTTTCTTACCTTTTTACCCCCTTCCTCCTTTCCTCTTTCTCCCCTTTTATTCTTTTTTTCCCTCCCCCCCCCCCCCCTTTTTTCCCCCTTTTCCTTTCTTCCTTTGTCTCTTCTGCACTTCTCTTTTTCTTTTTTTTCTCCTTTTTTTCTTACTTCTTCTTTCCCTTCTCCCTGTTATCCTTCCCCCTTTCCCTTTCCCCCTTTCTCCCTTCTCTCCCTCCTCCCCCTTCCCGTTCTTTGTTTTTCCCCTCTTTTTTCGCCATTCCCCCCCTACTCCCTTTTTTCCTTTCTCCTTTTCCCCTTGTTACTTATCTTCCTCCCGCCCCCTCTCGCCCCCCTTTTTTCCCTCCCCCTTTCCCCTTCTTCTCTCTTCCCCTTTTTTCCCCTTTTTCCCTTTTTTCCCTCCCCCCCCCCCCATTCTTCCTCTGCTTCCTCCCTCCATCCTTTCCTCTCCCCCCCCTTTTTTTTCCCCTCCCTCCCCTTTTCTTTTCCTCTTTCTCTCTTTTTTTATCCCCCTCCTTTTCTTTTTCTCCCTTTCCCCCCCATCTTTTCCCCCTTTTCTCTATTTCCTTTTCCCCCCTTCCCTTTTCCCTCCTTATTTCCCCCCCTTCCCCTGCCTTTTTTTTTTCCCCCCTTTTTCTTCCCCCCCTTCCCCTATTCTCTATTTTCTTCTCTTCTTCCTCCTTTTTCCCCCTTTTTCCTCTTTCCTCCTCCCCCTCCTTTCTTTCGTTTTCTTTTAATCTCCTTCTTTTTTTTTTCCTTTTTCCCCTTTTTTTCCCCCTTTTTCTTTTCCTTTCCCCCTGTCTGGTTCCCTTTTCCCCCCTCCCTCCCCCCTCATCTCCCCCCCCCTCCTTCTCACCCTCTTGTTTTCTCCTTTTTCCCTTTTTCCCTCCCGTCTTTCTTTCCTTTCCCACCTCCCTCCTCCCCCCCTTCCCCCTTTCTCCCTTTTTTTCCCCCCCCCCTCCCCTTCTTTTCCGTTTTTCCCGTCCTTTTTTTTCCCCTTCCCCCTTTTCCCTTTTCCTCCTCCCCCTTTTTCTTTCTTTTTTTCCCACCCCCCCCCTCTCCCCCTTCCTTTCCTTTTTTTCTTTTTTTTTCTCTTTCCCCCCCCCCCCCCCCATTTTTTTCCTCTCCCTCCTCTTTTCCTTCTCCCCTTTTCTTCCCTTTTTTTCTTTTTTTTTTTCTTCTTTTTTTCCTTTTTTTCTTCCTTCAAATTTTTATTAATCTCCTAAAAATAAAGAGTGTGGCTTTAGTTGTGGTGAGCTCGAGAATTTTTTATTTTTTTTCCTTTTTTTTCCCTTTTTTTTTTTTTTTTCTTTTTTCCCTCTTTTCCTTTTAGTGTGTTGAGATGAGAATTTTTTATTTCAGTAAATTTCTTCACAGTTTGAATTACAGTAAGGAACAGTTGTAAGTTGCACCTGTCTACGAAATCATCTAAAGATTTCTGAAAGAACATTTTTTCGTATTCCTAGATTTCTGCATTCCTGTACCCGTTTCTTGTTGATCCTCTAGCCTTCCTAATGCGTTTGTAATTTGCAGTAATTGTTATTGAATTTTATCGAATATCACTAACAGTTTTTTTTAAAAAAAATTTAACTGTTTTTTAAAAATTCTTTTAACCTTTGTGTGTATGTTTACTTTGGTGTTAACGCTATAGTGTGGTTCTTTCTTTCTGAAGCCAAGGTTCTTTCGTGCCCTTTTTCTTCTACAAGTGTAGCTGTTTTGTAACAAAAAGTGAAAAGGAGCCCAAATTTAGTTTCTAAATCTGTTAGTTTCATAATTATGGAAACAATGTTTAAACCTTTTTTAGTTTAAATATCATAATACAGTAAACGATTTATCGGACTCGTCCGGACTCGGTGATCCGGATTACAATTTTTGGAATATTAGTCATCAGTTTAAATTGGTAAGATGGCATGCAGAATATAAAATTAAAATATGAAACCGAATTATAAAATAATGAGCAATATGATCTTAAAGGGTATCAAATTACAAAAAAAGATTAATATTTATTGTTTCTTTATTAACCAGTTCTTCAACGCGCTCATGCGTCAAGGATACATTATGCATAGCCAAATAGAAAATTGCACCAGAAAACGATTTGTTGTATTGGGATATTTATAATGACGAGGAATTGATTTAATTATCAAAGACGAAGGAAATCGAGATGAAATAATAATTTATAGGAATTAAGCCGAATAATTAAATAAAACATCTGCACTGAAGATAACGATAGTGTGAAGAGCAACTTAGCCACGTTCATTGCGAGCCACATGGCACCAGCGGCCCACCGAGCCGACGAGCGGTAAAGTCGCGAACACTGGTAGTTCGGTCCGAGTCGACTCCCGCAAACGGGTGGCTGCCTGGGTGTTTTGGGTTTTCCCTGGTGTAACGTGTATCGAGCCAGTTTCCCTTAGAAAGTCCTCCACTAAGGCATCCTCCTTAGGCAGAAGCCCGAGGCTTGCAAATCACACACAATTGTGCGCCGCACGTTCCCCTCCCACCCGCGCGCCGTGAAATTGTAAACAGATTTCGGAACGTTAGATAAAAAAGGATAGCCTTTCCATTTTTTGGCATTCCCTTTTTGTTTGATGGAAAATAACATACTTAGTTTTGTAGATCCTTTGTGAGCTCCAGCATCAAAATTCTATTGATATAATCGAAAGTTAAGCTAATTTTAAAAATGCTCTTACAGTCTGCAAAAATAAGCGGATCCAATTAGAAGATGAAGGAAACGCAATCATCAACATTAACTGAAATGACAATTAGATATTGTGCTTATTACCGCCGTAATACTTAACGCGCAGTGAAACGTATTAGCGCTTGTGCAACACAAATGCGCAGTAGTAAAGGTCTTACGCGCACGCTAAAAGCTATGGCATGCGTCACGCGGCGCTGCGCAAGAAAGTTTTTAGCTTTGAGGTCCGGATTATAGGATCATTTCGGATTATGGGTGTCCGAATTAACGACTTTTGACTGTATCATATATCTGAATAACAATCAAAAATAAAGTCTAACATTAAGAATCAGCATAAATTTTTTAATTTTTTTTTTTTCCCCAGTAGTTTTTTTGCAGTATCCTATTTGTTTTTGTTTCATCAATAGATGGCGCTAGTAGCTTAACTTCTGTCAAACTTTTCTCATCTCATCTTATCTCTATCCGTATCTTATCTTTTTTCACCCTTTATTTGGTTCATTTGCACTAGCAGCTGAAGAAGGTAGTTCAGAAACTATCGAAATTAGTACTGTGAAAAATTTTTAAAAATTGATGCTAATTCTTAATGTTGAACCTTTGTTTTTGATTTTTGAAAGTTTAACATTGTTTAGTGACACATGCAAATATTTAAGAGAAGTTCCATAATAAAATGTGTAATTTTATTTAAAATAAAGGCTAATTTTCAGTCTGTCAAATTATGAAAATATGAATAGATCAAAAATTGTAAATATGAAAACTAAGTGATTGTTTCCAAACAATTTTTAGAAATGTAAATGAGTTAGTGTACACTGGCACATTAATTTGATAGTACTGTTGAGAGAAAGGAAAATGAATATATTATAAGATCGTTTGGTTTGAAGAGATGCTGTATGCATTTGTTGAGAATCTGTTAAATAAGGGCTAAGGAAGTATAGTGTTTCTACTATAATACGAGATTGATTTTTCTCAGTTTTAAAACTGGTGAGCTTCTCTTATCTTTGTTTTGTTAAAATCTGAATATCCTAGAACATCAGGTTTGTCAATATCGAAACTTCTGAAATCGTCACTATTTATTTACAAACAATAAACTCAATGAATAATTTACAGCAAAGAAGGGGTCATCATTTTAATTCATAATTTTTTATCAGCATTCTGAGTTAATTTTTTGTTGTAAATATTTTTATAAATGGAACAGAGGTTTCATTAATATTGAAATTTATGTCCCTCTCTTCTTTTTCTGTTCTTCTAGCTGGGATTGGACATTGAAGATCTTGAAGACATGGAGGAAGATGCTGGGCTTGGAAATGGCGGTCTTGGACGGCTCGCAGCTTGCTTCCTTGACTCAATGGCAACTTTAGGTCTAGCTGCATATGGGTATGGACTTCGATACGAATATGGCATTTTTGCTCAGCGCATAAAGAATGGTGAACAGGTAATTCATTTTTAACTTCCTACTTGCCAAGTATCCATGGCTGAGTAATAGTGCTGATATCAGCACCATAAGCTTATGCATTCACGTTGAGAGCAACAGTTTATGTGTAGTTTTCCTGATGTGCTCTAGATTTTGGTGATGTAGGAATACGATGCTTGCGATTATTTGGATAATATGATATATTTATTGGACAGAAAAATAAGTTTTGAAAAACTGCATTTTTATTGTAGTTAAATTCATCAAAATAATAAATATATTATTTATAAAGAATTTAAAGTGCAGAAAAACTGCAAAGTCATTTAGTCTTCGATAGCATGTAAATCGTATGTTTCAGCATGTAACTTGTTAAACTAGAGAAGAGTCAATCTAATGACAGAAATTTTATATACGTTAACATGAAATTATGTCAGAAATACAGATTTCAGGATAAGTTTTGATAAATATACTTCTTACTTTAAGTAGCCATACAATATTCGTGTCTTCACGGAACAGGATACTTTCTTCTAAAGTTCAGATAAAAATTATGTACAGTACAAAGTTCGTAATCCAGACGTCCCTTATGCTTAATGATCTATAATCCGGATCTCAAAGCCACAAACTTTTTTGTATGTTTTGTTTATAGAATTAATGAGAAAGTACTAGCACAAAAAATGAAGCAACTTATATTGAAAGAAATGTTTAATAAAGTAAACAAATAAATATCGAGCTTTTTTTTTGTAAATTTTGATACCCTTTAGATCATAATTGTTCTTTATTTCATATTTTTAATTGTATAATTTTTGCATGCCATCTTACCAGATTTAAATTGATGATCTATAATCCGGAAAAACCCCTAATCCGGAATCGCTGAAGTCCTGACGAGTCCGGATTACAGACTTTGTACTGTACCAGGTAATGGAAATAGGCAAGAAATTTAGCAGTTCTCAATTCCCCATGAATTACATTGTTCTGAGAAAGCTTGGGCAGAGAAGATTTTACTTAGTGTGCAATTCTGTGCTGTCAGAAGTTGCTTCCAGTTGGTTTAACTTGAATAGGCCCATACATGGCAGGCATAGGTGAGCATGGGCTTCAAAATGGTTTTGTAAATGTGTAACTTATTGTCAATAGATAAAACACTGTTCCTGACAATTCAGAGGGAGAATCAAAGTTTACAAAACTGGAAATATGGATAATGTATTTTATATATGGCATTCATGAAAGATTATGGTTGAGGTTTACCCCGAGATAGGCAACTTGTCTAGCCAAGGCAGTGCGAATATTTCCATTGCTTTTCTTTTCTCTTGTGAAGGTGATAGCTGTAGATTTTTCTATGTTTATTTCCACTTTCCAACTTACTAGCCAGGTCTCAAGTGCCCGGATGTGGTTTTATAGTGCTTGTAATCCTAAACGAAGAAAAGCATTTTGTGAGAGAAATACAGTGTCATCAGCCTAGAGTGCTAGTGTTGGTGATGACTGTTTTTGAAATGTTATTCACAAATCGACGAATGTAGGTCCCAGTAGTTGGTACACTGTCTAAAATACAAGGGTGAGAGGAGTATGTGTTTGAGATGCGAATGACAAAAGTTTCTTCTTGTCAAAATGGATCATGCTTGGAGGTATTCTTCATGAATAGTGAATGTAGGAACTAGTTTTCTTATGTGAATTTTACGATGTATTTGGAGGAATATTTGTAGGTATCTGAACAATGCTTTTTCTTATAATTGTATTGCAAATGAAAGAAATGCAACTAAATATTTATAAAATGAACATTTCATCTTAATTTATTGCAATAAAATAGTATACATATTATTTGCATGTGTATGTTCAGATGTGCAAATACTGAAAGGGGGAGTTTAAAATAAAATTGGAACTAAATTTTGGATGAAAACGATCTTAAAAACACAATTTATTAATTCGTAAGCAAATTTGTAAGCTGTAAAAATTCTTAAGTAAATAATCAAAAGTACAAGAATATCATGAAATACTGTGTGCTCTGAAATTTCAATAATTATAAATTTAATTTGTGTGTAAAAATGTTTCAAATGACTTGGTCAGTTATTTGTGTACTGCATTTTTATAATATATGGTTGTTTTTGTAGTTCTTCGATAAAATCACCTTCTGTAGTAGATGACCTCAAACTACAACCATCCCTATGTTCGAAATTTCCCATGATCCTTCAGAAACGGAACTTTCATCTAATTGGTTGATGTCTGTGGAACCCAGCTGGGTTCCAAGGTAATAATTTTTGGCAAAATTAATAAATGTCCCCCGTAACCAGGACATCGCTTTCATTGGAGCTGGTTTTTCTCGAGATCCTCCTGTTTAAGCCAATACTACCAGAATCTTCTTTCTTGGAAATATCCCATTTAACATTACGCTTAGCTAGATGTAATCAAATGTTCGATGGGCGACCCTTTAGATCAAATGCGTTCGATGGGCGACCCTTTAGATCAAATGCATTCGATGGGCAACCTTTCTCAACAAGCTAACAGTGAGACTTGGTGGGCACTGAAAAATTGTTCAACAGTGAGCACCGCGTTGTATTGTCCTGCTGAAATTTGGGCACAGGCACACCTCAAATGTAAGGGAAGACAACAGGCACCAAAACTTCAGATATATACGAGTTTAATGTAAGGACAATGCATATTATATGCATTTAGGTGTAAACTCCATGTGATAAAGCTGTTTGACAATGCATAATGCAAGGTCATGTTTGTCAAAATAGTACTGCCAAACTTGGACGCGGTCATCGCAGTGGTATAAGCAGAATCCAGATTCATCTGAAAAGGCATTGTCACTATTAATATCTGTGTGTCTGGCGTTCAGTGCATTAACCTTGTATGTCTGAGATGTAGAGTCAAAGTTAATCATTGTTAATCAAAGACGTCTTGTGAAGACTTCCATTATCTAGAAACGTTGAATGGTATATACTGACTCACTGTTGAACTCTAGAGAGTTCTTGATATTACTGTACAATCAGTCCTCTTTGTCATATGCACAACATGCCTGCCCTCTCGTACAGGGGTATGATGAGGCTAGTGCAATTGTCTCTGTCAGTCGCTCTGTCTCTCCTTCACCCATTGATTCTATATTTGATGCTGCGATTCTATATCCAAGTATAAAATTTGATTTCATTAAACACAAGCAATGATTTCTCTGAAGGATAATGCACATCTTGCAATTTTTTTCTTTCAGATTCAGAAACTTTTTTGAATGATTGCTTCCCCTCCCTGATGACGTACTAAAGCTTTCCAAATGAGAAGGAAAACACACATTTCCACAAATTAAAATGACATATTGTTCTCCTCTTTTATAGTGCTTCTAGGTGGTGGTACTAATGCATATGAGTTGTAAATGCACTGCAGTGCTAAGCATTTGTATGTTCTGCCGAAGCCTGTGCATGGTGAAAATTTTAAGACTGTGGGATGCTTCCTTCATAATGTTGCATTTTGGATGGCCAGCAGTATAAGAAGATTTGTATTGTTTCTGAAATCCTTTGCTCTTTCTACATTTCTTTGCATAATTTATCTAGCACTTTTTGGCATACTGACTTGGTAAAACTCATGTCTTGTAATAAATGAGAACATAAGTAGAATAGTTTTAAGGTCAAAGTAAAGAAACTTTGTAAATAAGTTTTTACATACACTTAGTTTGTTTCTGTACCATACTTAAAAATCATTGTAATAAATTTATACAAGATTATTAATCTCGTACTAATATTCTTTATTCAGTCTGAAGAACCAGATGATTGGTTGAGGTTCGGAAATCCCTGGGAGAAAGCAAGACCTGAGTACACATTGCCTGTTAACTTCTATGGACGAGTTGAACAAACGGACAAAGGATGTAAATGGGTTGATACACAAGTATGCATTTCTTAACTTGCAATTTTAATTACATTATGCAAGGTAAAATTCATTTATGTAAACAGTTTATTTATGTGCAAGAGGATAAACGTTTGTTATTCATTTTTTGAAATTTCAGCTGTTTATTCAAATAAATATAATTAAACTTTTATGTAATTTCAGATTGTATTTGCTATTCCATATGACAATCCAATACCTGGCTTCAGGAATAATGTAGTGAATACAATGCGTCTCTGGTCAGCTAAATCTCCAAATAGTTTCAACTTAAAATTTTGTAAGTGCAAATTCCTTTATTTGTATCTTTTATCTATGTATTTTAGACAAAGAATATTTTTATCGCTTATTTCAGTAGTACTAATTTTTTTTAAGTGCTGTGTTTATGAATGCTGCAATGCATATTTTTAAATATGTTTGAGATTTTAATGGCTTTGAATAAATTCTTTTATAAAAATTCAGTTTGATATGAAATTGCAGAAAGTACATTTGAAAGTATTTTTTTCAGTCAATGATGGTGATTATATACAAGCAGTATTAGACAGGAATTATGCTGAAAATATTTCAAGGGTTCTGTATCCCAATGATAACGTAAGATATTTTAATTTAAATATTTTGGGTGGTTTTCCTCTTTGATTCAATTATTAAATTTGAATTATTTTGTACTTTATACTGTTTTACTTTTGATACTTTGTATAACAGTATTTCATTCACTTTTGCTATTTTAAGTTACAATTCGCTTGTATGGGTAATACATTCCAAGACATCATGAATACGTAAAACCATAGGTAATAACGACCTATATAAAACAGGTACTCATGTAACACACATAAATATATGATAAATTATGTAGTAAAAAGACATTTTCACCAACGTTTAATGGATTACTCTCCACAGGATCACTCGCATCACATTTCTGATTATGCACAATACAATGTAAAGCAGTGCAAAATATACTAGAATCTCCTCTCTGCATTTTCATATATCCATAAAAGTAAAGGATTCAGACATTTTAATCTGATCAACAGAATGCGAGATCTGAATTTGGACAGAGCTTAAATTGTGCCAGAGCTGTGCTTCTTAGTTTTTGGGATAAATCATAATTCTAGCTGGAGCCTTAAATAAGAAGGCTCCAGTACTTCTTTAATGCAACTGAACAATTTCAGCATTTTAATAATGAAATTTTATCAAAAATCGTTTCTTGCTTTTGAATACATGCTTCTCTTTCCTTGGGAAACAAACCCTTGGATGGATGTCGAGACTTTTAAGCAAAGAAAAGCGCCATTCACATGTCAAAGGCTTATTCTTCAGAAAGTACATTGAATTTATGACAAAGGGTAAAATTTTTTTGTTCCATTGCTAGTGTCATCCTGCAAAAAAGAGCACCTGCAGTGTAACCAAAGATGGGGGTTGAAAATTGTTACTTTGACAGCTAGAATTATTTTGAAAGGAAATTGTGGTCAGAAAATGTTGGAGAATTCTCATTTTGTTTTCATACCTACAGGTCACCCATTAAAATTTTCTCTCTTACTGTTTATAAAATTCTCTGTTTTCATTAGTGAGGCTTTAAAAATTTTAATATTCTTCATTGGTGGGCTGGAAAAAGAATGGTCTCTGTCATCCCTTGAAGTAGTGCATTATATTCAGAGCTTAAATTAAACTGGGGACTAGTTGAGCTAGTTCTTATTTTTTATGTGAAACTAATTCCTGCCAAAACCCCAAATATTTTAAGGTCCAGTACTTTAATATTTAATTATTTACCATTTATTTAATAACTTATAATATTTTTATTTTCTCCTTACATTTTAATATTAATTGCTTAATTATTCTAACCATTAATTATTTAATTGTTGGATTATTTGTATTTTACTAGTCATTTTATTTATTTTTGACAGTCTTTCCTGACAGTCTTCCATAGGGCTCTGACACATGTAATTTTAGAAATTCAGCTTTGATAACAGAAATAACAATTCATTTTCTTAGTACTACTCATAACTACTAGTTTCTAAGCTCTAATAGCATCATTTTTGTTTTGGGACCATTATTACAGTAAATAAAAGTTTTGCATGAAGTTGGTGATAAAACACTAATGAGAGGAAGCGTACTAGAAAGATTGAAGTCGAATTTATGATTGTTAATTTAATCGATTATGATGAAGTATTTGAGCTATTTTGTTAAGGGAAGGTATGCTTTCATGGAAGCCTTTCTGATGGCAACTGACAATATTCACATTGCATGTAGGGAAAATCACAAGGATGAACATATTGCAAATCTCTTCAGTAAGATTCGAGCCTAGGTCAAGCTACCTGCACTCAGTGCGGTTACCTACTCAGTTCTGGTGAATCCAGCATCAAATGTAACTGTTCGAAACAAGCATGTAGAAGCATGTTTACTAAGAAGACAATGTTTGTGCATGCTTGCTAGGTACGAGTGCTGTATTTTGCTATGTTACAAGTTGTTGATCTTAGCAAATATGTTGAAACTTTGGCCTGTTTCTTTATTTTTGGTTCTACTTATGTAAACTGTGGGTACAGGGACGCAACTATGCATATAGTTAATTGGTACCTTTAGTGCCTTTTTTAAACCAAATTTATGACAAAATCAAGGACAGATCAAGTGTTAACCATTTGGTTGTCTTACAAAACTCAGTTTTTTTTTAACCAAAGGTACTTTTGTCTCTGAAACTGCCTTAGAATTGTTTCTACCCCCCTTTCACCAGCTTTTAACCACCTGTGTATCATACTGAAAGATGTTGAATAGTATCATCCTGCCCAGGAGAAAAAATTGTATTGTGTTCCCTAGTTTCTTATCTGAAAATTAGTGACTATTCTCTAAAGGTATGCTTTTAAATGAGCAGAAGTTCCCATTGCAATGCCAGCTGAAAGGAAGGTAATAGTGTTCCTATTTCTTGTCTTTTAAGTGAAAGTTGCTTTGTGTGATCTGGATGCAACCTTGCTTTGGAGATACCATGTCCTACCTAGCCATAAATCTCTCTTCATTTTTGCCATATTCTGTGGCTGGAAAACATTACGTGACAAGTACCTTTTGTGAGGGCAACAATGCGGGCCACATTTAACTATGATTAATGTATCTTATTTCTGATGCCTGGTGGCACATATCAAATCGAGTTCGTTTTGGGGAGGGAGTAATGAAGTTGTTAATATTGGTCTTGTTAAAATTTTTGTATGAATTTAAAGTAAAGCAATTTGAAATAATGAAATATTAAAATTCAGCTTTCATAATTAAATAAAAAGAAATCATCTTTCTGTTTCAGAAGTTAACTTTATATTTGTTTTCAGTTTTTTGAAGGAAAAGAGCTGAGATTAAAACAAGAATATTTTATGGTTGCTGCTACTCTGCAAGACATCATTAGACGTTTCAAATCATCAAAGTTTGGAAGCAGAGATCCCGTTAGGACATCCTTTGATACATTTCCTGATAAAGTATGCATGTACTTGGTTATTTTATTTGTTAAATGTGACTTTTTGACAGATGTCTTTACTATTAAGTTCTGCAATTAAATAATGTCACAAGTATAATTTATAACTTGAAGAAGTGACACTATTTTTTTTTGCCATTAGGTTGCCATTCAGTTAAATGATACACATCCTGCATTAGCAATTCCAGAACTGATGCGCATACTTGTTGATGTGGAAGGTGTAATATGGGACAAAGTGAGCTTACTATCATTGTCTTAAAAATTAGACTTGATATTTATCCAACTCAAATTCAAGAAAACCTTGTTAATAAATTTCTTATTTTTATAAATATTACCCATTATTAAATATAATATATATATTATATAATATATAAATATTATATATAAAATTTTCAGTAGTGCTGTGCTTTTGATTCTTTTTAAAAATACAGTCAAAAGTCTTTAATTCGGACACCCATAATCCGGAACTTGAAGCTACAAACTTTCTGCGCATGCGTCGCGTTCACGCATGTGCACATGCGTTTACGAGTGCACGTAAGAACTTTATGGCTGCGAATATGGGTGTGCGCATGCACGTTTAATGTGTAATGGACTGTATAAGCTAAGCTAAAATTATCTAATTCAGTTAATGTTGCAGATTGCGTTGTTCCTTAATCTTCGAATTGGATCTGGCTTATTATTTTTGGCAGACTGTTAGAGCAATTTTATAAAAGTAAGCTTGAACTTTCGATTATGTCAAATAGAATTTCCGATATATATTTACTAATATGTAAAGGATCTACGAAGCGAAAGTATGTTTCAAAATCCAAAATCTGTTTATCAATTTCACGCTGCGGTGCACAATGAATTAGAAGTTGATCTGTCAGCACTATCCTTATCTTCAGGGCAGATGTTTTTATTTTATTTAGCTTATAATTCCTTACTAAGTATAGTATTTCATATCGATGTACTCCATCTTTGATATGATTTAAATCAAGTTCCTCGTCATTATAATTCGCTTCTGATAGTGAAGAAAGTTACCCGGAGGTTATTGAAAACTAAAAAATTTCTATTGACAAATTAGTCAGTATTCTCAACACAGCAATTATAGGACTTGAACAGTGGAACTTTGTAACTAAACAAGAAATTATGTCTGTTTAATAGAATTAAAGAGGAAGTATTATCACATGAAATGAAGCAACTTAAACAACTTACATTGAAAGAAATGTTTAATAAAGTAAACAAATAAATATTAAGCTTTTTCTTTTTGTAAATTTTGATACCCTTTAGATCATAATTGTTCTTTATTTCATAAATTACGGTTTCATATTTTTAATTTTATAATTTCTGCATGCCATCTTACTAGATTTAAACTGAGGATCTATAATCCGGAAAAATCGATAATCCGGAATCGCCGAAGTCCCGACGAGTCCTGATTAACGACTTTTGACTGTATTTAGTTTATCTAAAAACTATTTTGTAGTACAGTAGAAGTCCAGAAATCGACAAAGCTTGGGACCAGAGGTTGTGCAGATTTCAGTATGGAAAGGATAAATCATAATATTCAGACTTAAAGTGCAAAATAAATAAGGCATATTAGATACATTTAATTAAATTATTATATACATTATTGCAATAATTTATTATATGCGTTAAATTATTGCATATATAAATTGATTATATTATTTGTTGTATTATATGTACACAGCATCCAGGTTTGCCGATTTCTCCTCGTGCAAAGATTTCCGGTTTCGAATTCTGGTGTTAGAATCACTGTTGCTGTAAAATTTCAACAGCTTTTCTTTATTTTTCGGTATATCATACGCAATAGTGTTGCAATTCCATATGATTCTGCTATAAACTGAGGAGTGGAACATGCCTCCATCTTTTGCAGAATTTGCCCTTTTTGCATTACTGTCAATGCAACGTCTAAGTTTTTTAACATTGCAAGCAGTAAAATCATGAGTGCGTTTCTTATCTGTCAATGTATTTAAAAGGGCTGAAATTTAAAATATTCTTAATTTATCCATAAAATATCCGGATAAAAAAAGGCAGCACTAAATAGTCTTGCGAAATAACAAACCTCAGAAAATATAATGTAAATCGTGAACTACAAAGAAGAGTTGAGCGAATCGTCTGCTTATTTACCTCTATGCAGATTAGAGGGAAAAAAACTTTTATCATGATATTAATAATTTGGTATTTATGTTATGACTTATTATTATTCGGTAATTATGACGTCATTATTCAATAAGTATTTTTTCTTCGATATTTCGTACTCAATGTTGCGGTTTCTGGAAGCTATAAACTGAATGTTTATATTTTTGGAGGCAACGCAGATTTTCGGTATTTGACTGTATTTTTATATATGTCTGCAAGTCTCTAATTTTTTTTTTTTTTACAAAATGCTCTTAAATTTTTTTAAATATGTATAAAAATTAATTTCTGATAAATGTGATAGGAAGTATATTTTGTCTATCATTGGATGTGGCCAAACCATTGGTGCATGCACTGAAATCCTGTGAAGATTATCATGGTAGAAGAGGTTTGGAGGACCCTTACTACCAACCACTGGTTGTTTTCCTTGGAATTTATCTGGTATGGAATTAGCTAGCTTCTCAATACTTTATATGCGTAGGTAGGTTCACAGGTGCCAGACTTCTCTGAACCTCTGTCTAATGTAGCCATTCTGATTAGCATAATGTTCCTGGTTGCTCTATTGCTGGGCTTGAGTTGAATCCCAGGAAAGCCATGTATGTCTGTAAGTATATAGTATTTGTGTGGCATAGAGTACTAAAAGTCCTTTGTTAAGTGGTTGGTGCCAGGGGAAGAACGGTAGAAAGACCCTCATACCATCAATACTGGAGTAGAACTTAAAAGCTAGTGCAACAGGACTATGCCTGCGTGACCACGTTATTGGTATACCTACAGTGCAATTTCTACTGCGGAACATCGTTATCTTAATAGAAGAAAGAACTTTCTGTTGTGCAGCTGTGGGAATGTCCCAAAAGTGAGTGTATTAATTTATCTCACTTTCCATCTATGACTGATTCATAAGTGCAGTGAGTGTTACTAACCTGGCTAAATTTATCCTTTCAATTTCATAGCTCTGGATATTCAAAGCCTCCATAGTATGCCATTTTTACCTTGATAAATTTGATTTAAAGTTGATTTTATGGTCAATTTTCTTTTATAATTATGTTTAATAATAATGCAACCTACTTATAGATGTATTTCATTCCTAAAATGGTATTGCAAAAGTGAAGTTCAGGCATAGACAATATCTTTAACTGTATTTATTCAGCTTCCATTTGCCAATAGGTCCTTAATTGTTTTCGTTAATGGTCCTTAAAAGTCTTAAAAAGTACTTAATTTCTGTGTGCAGAAATTTGTGTGAACCCTGGTCACCCATGTTTCAGTCATCAACTGTCACTTTGTGAGCATCTATATCAATAGCCACCTTTCTAAACGTTTCATCACAATCTGGCTTGTTAATAGCACCAAGCTTTTCTTCTAGTGATAAAACCACACATTATTTTCTACCAGTCATTGTTTGACAAGCAGACACTAGAACACACGCACAAAAGAAGGCCAAAGTCTCTCATGCCTCTTTATTGTTGCACAGGGAGCTATGTACACTGGCTCTAATGGAAAAGCTAAAAACCGACTTATTTTCCTCTCAAATTTCACAAGAATTGAAGCTGCTGACTTCAAGCATGGTAAAGATGGAGTTTTTATATGGTTTGAATTATTGCTAAAACCGAAGTCAATATTACCTTTTGAGCAAGGCCGTTATAAGGGCTATTTTTATTTATTGCATTGGGCTTGGATAACACAGAAACTTGATTACTTAAAAAACTCAGATAATCGTGTTTCTACTGTGTTTGTGTGTGTGAGCGTGCATGTATAAATATGGTGTGTGTATATTTATATAAATATTTATATACATATATATATTTATGTGTGTACATATGTTGTTCTGATGTAAAGATGTTAAGGCAATGGCCAGTTAAATGTTTTCATTTAAAGTCTAACTCTGAGGCATAACTTTGCTGGATTAACTTATATATCAAGATAATTTTGTCATGTTTTCCTCCTTATTGTGATGTATCAAATTCATGTAATTATAAATTAAGGAATATTTTTAGGCATGGGACATAACTGTACGAACATGTGCTTATACAAACCACACTGTATTACCAGAAGCCCTTGAACGTTGGCCTGTCAGTATGCTTGAAAATATTCTACCAAGACATTTGCAAATCATGTATGAAATTAATGCGAGATTCTTGGATGTACGTATATTTCTTTTATTGTAAAATATAGTAGTTATGCAAATTAAGTGTATCAGTATAAAAAAACAATTTTTTTAACTTGTTGCACCTATATGTATATATAATTGACCTTTGAAGTATGCAGATTTAAGTTGTGTCTGTTTGCTTACGAGGAAGATTTTTTTTCTCATATGTAATAAATGCAGAAATATGACTTTTATTATTTTTAACAGTTTGAACAGAGTAGCTGTCATACCACATAGTTTAGAAGCATTGTTTTTAAAGTTAATTCATCACAAATTAGTCTACTTTATGGCTTTTTATCATAATACAAATTCAGTTATTTTTTTAAAGCTAAAACTTTTCCAAAATGTAGGTACATAAACAAATGCAGACATTTTGTCATATCAGAATTTAGCCATTACAGAAAAATCAGTCTGAGTATATAATAAGGTATAATTTAAATAGCTCCGAATAATAGTGATACTAGTCACTATTTATCTCCTCAAGCAGTAATCAAGGATTCGAGTCTGACTACAAAAGTGCGGCTTGTATTTGATGCATCCTTGAAGAATGAAAATGGGAATTCCTTGAATGCTTGCCTCGAAAAGGGGCCGAATTTAATAGAAATGCTTCCAAAACGTTTGATGCAATTCCGGCAACATGCAATTGGTGTTACTGCCGATATAAGGAAAGCCTTTTTACAAATCAGTTTTTGTGCTGGAGACAGGCTTTTTGAAATTCTTGTGGTGGAAAGATTCAAATCAAACCAAGATTGTTACGTGTCTTGTTCGGCATTTTTTAGAGTCAATTCCTGTTGGGAGCAATGATTTCCTACTATTGGGATAATGCTCCACAAGATTTAAGAGGAACAGCAATTAGATTGAAGAAATCCTTTTATGTCGACAATTGTATAGCTCATTTCGAAACTGAAGTAGTAGTCAAGTCGAAAGAAGAGTCCCAAACTCTAATGCTTTCAGGAGGTTTTGATCTCAGGGGGTGGACTGCTTCACATTCAAAGATGGAAGCATGACTTCCTATCAGATCATTCTAGTTCTGGGACTCTCATGGGACACCGAGAATGATGAAATTTATTGCAGTTTAACCCCTTTGACATTTTCTGAGAGTGCCCACACGAAAAGATCTCTGCTGTCAGTCTCACGGAGGATATTTGACCCCACCAGATTTACTAGTCCAACTACGTTAATTCCAAAACTCATTCTGCAAAATACATGGAAAATGAAACTTTCCTGGGATGAAAATCTTCCACAAGGTGCAGAAAGAGAATTTCAGGCTTGGCTCAAAAGACACTTCTTGAATTATTGTAAAATTTCAAGAAGACTTGCGATTGTACCCTTTGATGAATGCTCTATCACTCTACATTGTTTTAGTGATGCTAGCTAGTACTGCGGCATGCATTTTCTTACATGCATATTTTGAGGGCAAAACTTCAGTACAATTGGTGTTATATAAATCAAGAGTAGCACCTGCCAAAGAAGTAGCTATTCCTAGTTTAGAGTTGCTTGGAGTACTTATAGCTACTGGGTTGTATCATCAAGTCATTGATGCTCTTAAATTGACAAAGTGCAGAGTGTACCTTTGGAGTGACTCGTATGTAGTTCTACATGGATCAAAAAAGATTCCCACTGGAGTGTTTTTGTGGCAAACTGTGTATCTGAAATAAGGAGATGCACAAATACGGATGACTGGGCATTATGTACCAAGCTGAAGCAATCCAGCTGATCTTCTCTCTAGAGGGTGCGATGCCAAAATGTTGCTGCTATGGTGGGAGGCACCGGATTGGGTTAAACAAGAGTTTGATAAATGGCCTCTCTCTAAAGAGTCAGAACTAGAAACTGATGAACTGAGTTGTTGCAATTTCCTAAAATTGCAAGGTGGGAGGATGTTAAGAAACGTGCACGAACTCAATTAATACACAATAATTTAATATGTTCATTATAATGTAGATTTTTGTGGCAACATGGGTGTTTTGTTTGTATATTCTTTGAGTATTATAACGCACAGAAGGTTCCTTTTTTATGTGTTTAGAATGCTAAATAAATAGGTTCCTTGTTAATTAAAAAGGTTTTCTCTGCGAAATATATTTCCATTCGTCCGAAGTTTTTAAAATAAGTAAAGAAATTGACTAATTTCAAACAATAATTCCTGCATGGGATTTAACAAAAATAATGATTTAAAATGTACAAATACTATAAATTAAGAACATTCATTATATGTGAAATATCTACGAGAGTTTAAATCAAGAAAATGTTGAATTTAATTTTTTCTTTTTTTTTTTTTACTTTTCTTTCATCTTTATATTTTGTACGTTGTTTTTGATTTTTGTCATTAACTTTTCTTATATCTTTATGCTTTGTACTCTATCTTTCTTACTCTTTATTCTTTACTTCTGATTTTGCTGTGCAGATCATTGCTTAAATTTTGTGAATTAATTTTTTTAAAACTCAATTTTTGGCCATCAGTCTCTTAACATTATCATGTAATTGCTAAACGGCAACAATCTCATATTTAGGGCAGAGAAAAGCTTTACAATATTCCTTCCCTCCAAAAAAGTTGGTCATAATTTTATAAATTTTTCGGGATGGAAATTAAATGCAACTGATTTCAGTATACAGATGACTTTATTCAAACTCAGTCTATACAAAATCAAATTACCTTTTTGAGAGCACACTGTTAAGGTAGCAAATGAAAAATTTATTTTCAAATCCCATCACTTTCAAAATAATGAAGAATGGATCAAAAAGAAAAGCTTAAATAGCTTTCCCAAGGCATTCAAACGAAAATAATTCAACATGCATAATACCTGAGGAACTAAGTCTCATTCAGATGTTTTTAATCATGAGAAATAACATAAAAGTATGCATATTAGATGGTGTTATATATGTATATAGTTTATATAATAATTAGCACTCTATTAACGCTATTGTATCATAAAAATTGTGGTATTTGTAAAGTGTTACTTTCATGTGTACAAAATTTTAATTAATAATTGGATTATAAAAATTTATTTTTGATCCAATGGCTCTTGTAGAAAGTATCCAAAAAATGGCCAGGTGATGTGGACAGGTTGAGAAGAATGTCTTTAGTTGAAGAATATGGTGAGAAGCGCATAAATATGGCACACTTGGCAATAGTTGGATCACATGCTGTAAATGGTGTTGCTGCAATACATTCTGAAATCATTAAAAAGGACATATTCCGTGACTTCTATGAAATGAATCCTGAGAAATTCCAAAATAAAACAAATGGTATAACTCCTCGCCGATGGCTTTTACTATGTAACCCAAGCCTTGCTGATGCTATTGCTGAGGTAACTTTTGTATTTTTAATCACATTTTAATTTTTGTTAAAATTAGATAAACAGCATAATTATAGATATTTTCCTTTTTAAAAAATAAAAATAGGGTTAGTTTATGGTTGTGATGCATTTCACTTTTCTCGGTATAAAGTATATTTAAGAATTCGTCATCATGAAAATTTAGGAAATCTTTGACAGCCAGTTTTAGACATGTATTTTTAAAAAATACTGTCCAAATGTAACTGTTGCAGGTATGATTAAAAATGTCAAAATTGATAAAAAATTATACATGTATAGAAACATTGGTTAATTGTAGTTTCTTACTGTGGGTAAGTTTCAAATTGAAAAAAATGAACTGTATAATGTTAATAGTATAATAATATATTTAGACTATAATGATTTTCAACTAGAATAAATTCTCAAGATGATCCATTGAGACTATAATGATATTCAATTGGAATAAATTCTCAAGTTGATCACCCATGGGTCTTGATGATATTGCTGTTTTGGGGTGGTTCCCTTGAAGACAAGATTATATTAACGGAATTGCTAAACTTCAGTCTTTTGTAGTGTTCTGAGGCCCTTACTTATACCTCTATCAGAATAACATAGGCTTTTATACAGCGTTCATATATTAAAAGGACACTATCTAGAGAATATAACTGTAGATGATATGTTTTTTTTAATCATGGCTGCTTTCAGAGGTCTTTTGGAGATGGTTACCATGTGATTTCATTATAGTTTGTACTGCTTTAAATGTATTTTAATGAAATTCTTTTCATGGATGTTTTCTACTTTAATCTGTAGAAGATAAAAATATAATTTCCTTTATTTATGAATGAGAGTGTGTACTGAGATAAAAATGTAACCCATTATATAAAATGAAACTTTTGTAAGCTATATCTTTAATGGTAATACCTTCTTATTGATTTCTTCCATTTCTAAGAATAAGAAAAACTCATTCTTCCTAGAAGATAGAAAATTAGTTTAAAATAGGGAACATCCCACAGAAGTGGGTTTGATTATTACTGCTACTAGCGTGTTATTGGTATCCATCTGCTGACACACTTTTGGCAAATAGTGATAAAGAAATTCACATGTTTTTACTTAACCCTCTGACTGCTCAATTTGTAGACTGAAATCGCTTTAAAAATTGTGCAATTTTTTTTGCATATTTTAAATCTATATATATTGGAGAATTGAAAAATGAATTTTTCCTTTCTAGAAAATATTTTTTTATATAGATTTTTATCATGAGAAACAAAGTTGTCAGAAAAACCAATTTCAGACGTTATCACCAAAAAAATTTTTTGAAATAAATTTCAGTCAAATTACAGTCCATTCTATTTCTTGCATAATAATAAAAAGTAAAATATATAAAATTTAAGAAAATATAAAGTTACTGAGGAAAAAATACCTTAGAAATGCAATTTAGTGCGAGGCAAAGTCCAACTTCAGTCTTTTCACCAGATTCAGTAAATCTAATTATTAATCTAATTAATAAACCTAATTAATAATTCAATAATTTAATTAAATAATCAAGATAATCGCTGAATGTTTTCCAGCAGCCATTTCTGCAAGGAAAAAGCGCAAAAAGTGGAGTTTGAGCGGTAATACCACGTGCCTTCAAATGCTGCAACTAATGATATCTGTTGGCCAAAATGTAAATTAAACGTCTAATACTGTATATAATTTTGTGGTTAAACGGGGAAAAACGGGATGTGCTCCTCAATAAAGGAAGAAAAGCACATGCCCGCAGGATGAGCAGAATTTGCTACATTTGAGCTGCCCATGGAAATCGCAGGATGAGCAGCCAGAGGGTTAAGTGTGGAAGATGATAATAGACATCCCGACAGAGTACCGTAATGTTGTCAAAATCCTTGTTATTGTATCATAGTTTCCCCGTTGTAATGAAAAAAATAGTTTCCAAAGAACTAAGGAGTTTGTGATGAAAATAACCCATTTGCATTATTAAAATATTAAGGCGTCTCCCTATATTTGAAACCCAAAGATCAGTATTCTTTATGTTCTGAATATAAAGCTCAAAGAGTTCTCATTTGCCCAGAAGCAGTGAAATGAGAAAAAAAAATTGTGTATGTAAGAAAAATCATGTATTTATCTTTGTTAATTTTCATTGTGTTTTAAATAATATGCAGTTATTAATTCAGTAATACGAGTGTGATATTTTAATTGTTTATTTGTTGAACTGTTTTAAATTTTATTTATACAATGTATGAAAAATTGAACATATTAAAATTTAAATGTATTACTATATATATAAATATTGTTGAGAAATTATATATTTTTATAAATAGTAATCCTATTTCATTTATAAAAAATTTCATTTTTAATGTATTAGTTTTCATTTTTATTTCTGGCACAATTTTTAGATTTTGTTGTAAATTAAATATTGAGAATAACAGATGTTTTTCTGAGGAAATTTTTTTTTACAGGTTTAGGTAACTTAATTCCAGTATATTTAAGAACTAATTGAAGGCTCTTCCGATTTCAAAGCTTCTTAATTACTCGAATTTCTAATAGTTAGCATGTGCATAAAATATTTATTTTAAGATGTTCAAAATTTGTACACGTTCTGTCTCTGAGAAGCATTGTGGGTAAAGCAAACTTAAAGGAATATTTTATGCAGTGAAGTATTTTTTCATTTGGAATGGTCACTATTTTCGAAATGCAGTATTAAGTTACAAATCTGTTCAACATAATTCCTTACCTAAATGGCAGTCTCTTGATGACTTTTATTCTAAAACTCCTAGCTTGGTGTACAATTTCACTTTGTATGCATATAATGTATACTTACACATACAAATTATAGTTCTTCCTACATACCCAAGAAATGATGATGATGATGATGATGATTTTAAAGTTGATGGCGTGAAACAAAGCAACATTCACATCTGACTGACACGTTTCTAGACAGAACTATTCTTGGGAGGCAGATTTTTAACTTCAACTACACAATACTCCATGCCCATTCGTAATCACACTTTCTTAACGTCATTATGACAATATAAATTATGAGAGAAATAGACTGCAACATGTTCGTAAGATAGCAAGCTAGAGCATAATTGCAATGTCCTTGCGATGAACACCTGACTTAGAATGACTTACTTTCAGTTTAGCTTTATTTTGATTGGTTAATAAATTTTAGTTCCTAAATTTGAAATTTTTATTCCCTGAAGAGTTATGCGAGAATCTGGATTCACAGCATTGTACAAGAATGGCTTAAATGATGCAGTTTAGAGTCATTTATTATAAACTGTTACTATTCTTAGGACAGAAAGAGGAAATAACTAAATTTATAAGGAAGTGAAGGAACAATTGCAAATTAAATTTAGAATTTTGGTTTATTTTTTTCATAAATTAAGTTTCCACTTCTGCATACTTAATGAGAACAGAATAATGCCAGAGAAAAACAACTGAAATGATAAGGCATTTCAAACCCAGGAGATAAGTGTTATAAAAAGTATCAAAATATAACAGCTTAGAAAGTGTCAAAACTGCAGTTTGCATGGGGAAAAGAGCATTTAACTTATCTGTGAGAGGAGTGTTTAAAGATTAATAGCCACTTTTAAAAATTGTTATATTGGTACAGTTTTTATCCAGAGATATAGGTAGGATAGAAAGACCTGTTTTCAAAAGCTTTCCTCATTAATGTATGCTGTGGGAATTTGGTGAACTGACAAAATGGTGGCTATTATATTCGCATTACGTTTGGCATAAAAAAAGTAAGATGTAATGTTGCACTTTGTTCATTTGCATCAATTCTTGGAACTTTATTGGGAACACATAACCTGAAATCACGGTTCATGTTTGTACTGAAAAGCTGGTTTTATTTAATTTCCGTAAAATTCAGAATATGACTTCAAAATTATTGACCCAACCTCTATTCCCAACAGTCTTTCAATGACTGTTTATTATCCTTGCATGGTATAGTAGGTATTAGTTGATTTTTCTCATTGTAACTAAATTTTTCCAATGAAATTGAACATATTTTATCTATTCAGCTACCAAGCTTCAGTAGTTTTTATGAAGACTCCTTATCACTGGTGACATGCCATTCTGTAGCTGTATAATAGTTAAAACATGTATAATAGTATGGAAGAGCCCTTATTTTCATTGCTATAATCAGCTAAACAAACATTTATAGCATAAATATAACACAACTTCCAGTAGGTGGATTCATGTGTTACTTATATATGGAATTGATTTTTTATTGTAATAGAGACATTTTCAAATTACTACCTTATTCTTATGAACAAATGTGTTACTATCTTTTAATGCAAAATTTTTCTGCAGTCCTTAAATTATGTTAATTAAAACTCTTTTAATACTTTCTCATGATGTATTTATGTTGTAGTATTTAACTTTGTATAAATTTGCTGTATATAATATTTTGTGTAAATATGCCATAAACTTTCTTTATTTCTGTTGGCAAATTAAGTATTTTTATATTTAATTTGTACTTTTTAATGCAGAAAATTGGAGATAAATGGGTTACTCATCTTGAGGAACTTGCACAGTTGAAGAAGTTTGCTAATGATCCATCGTTTATCAGAACAATACATAAAATCAAACAGGTATTTATTACGCCTAAGCTAATTTTTGATATCTAAAAGTTGAATTCCTTTTTAGTATTATCATTGGTAATTGTATTTCTCTCCCACTGCTATTTTATTTAGGAAAATAAACTAAAACTTGCTGCTTATCTGACCAATGAGACTGGTGTCAATATAAACCCAGCATCCATGTTTGATATTCAAGTAAAAAGAATCCATGAGTACAAGAGACAGTTACTGAATTGTTTGCACATCATTACATTGTACAACCGCATTAAGAAGAACCCAAATGCACCATTTGTCCCAAGAACTGTAATGATTGGTGGAAAAGTGAGTTACTTTATTCTGTGCCTTTTTTTTTTCTGCTTAAAGCGTTAGATTTTAATACTTGCTTGGATATTATTTTCAAGAGTTTCTTTTTATGACATTTAATTTGAATCAACAGTTTGCATTTTTATCAACATAAAAGAATCTAAAATTTTGTATTTAAATTTTTTTCAGGCTGCTCCAGGTTACCATACTGCAAAGCAAATTATAAAGCTCATTTGTGCTGTGGGAAATGTTGTTAATAATGATCCCGTTGTTGGTGACAAATTGAAAGTTGTTTTCTTAGAAAATTACAGAGTAACACTTGCTGAAAAAATTATTCCTGGAGCTGACTTGAGTGAACAAATATCAACTGCTGGTACAGAGGCTTCAGGCACAGGAAATATGAAATTTATGGTATATTTCTCATATCTCCTGGCAAATACTTTTTGACATCTTTATAATGAATCCTACAGGGTATAAAATTTCTTTAGTTTTTTCGTTTTACTTCTGTAGAAAATCATGAAATTTTGAAGTGTGATTTGAAAGAATTCAAATTAATGCCTTTTAGTACGTTTTCTTAGTAAAGGCTTAAAGTACAATAAATTTTGTACCCGTTTGATGATTTTATCTTTTTTGTAAGTTATAATGTTGATAACAAAATGTTTAAAGAACTTCAGATTAAAATATCCAACATATTTAATTTCAGCGGGAAAATTCTTGTATTTTTGGGCAATGTTTACATGCTCTTTTCCATACGAAATTCACTCCGAATATCAAGGAGAACTTGTTAAGCATGCTAAACATTAAATTAAATTTGTTAGTGTTTTGAAATAAATCACTTCATCAGGTGTATGCATAAGTTATAATTGTTCTTATGATATTTCATAGTATTAACCTGCCTGGTCGGTATGGTTTCTTAGGATATTTCATTCTGTTAACCTGTCTGGTAATTTACTAGTGCATTGAGTTGGGGTTTGAAGGCAAGGACATTTTAGACTGGAGAGTCCTTTCAGAATGAGGTTACTTAGAATCCATTCGTACAAACGCATTTTCAAGGTATTGCTATACTAGATCCTCTGATGCCATTCTTCAGGAAATTCTAGATCAAAATTGAGATAGAGTGTAAACATATAGCTCTTATATGCTTTACTTTATCTAAATAATCCAATAATCTAGTTATGCTGTAAACTGATATTTTAAGGACATTACCAGAAATTTCTATGCTAAAATCACCAGTTTCTTAAAGGTTTATCTTTTCCTTAATCCTTATTATTATTTTTTTTTCCCTATTTGATATGAAAACTTTCTCTACTTTGATTATGTTAGCTCTGGTTTCAAATCCTAGATAAGTTTCAAGTTTGTGACTGTAGTGATTTGTTGCATGAAGGTACTTCAATCTGTCAAGATAAGTTATCCTTGGAGGTTGGTGGTGGGGTACAAGACCCTTGAATTATATTCCTGGAGGGGGTTGGTTAGAACTGTGATGTAGCTTGTACATATAGCCAAATTTATTAATCAAGTCTTGCAACTTATATCCACAAGCCTTCATGATCTTAAAAACAACAGTTATTTCAGTGGACACAGCAACAAAGGATGGGCTACTTCATGAGCGGTGGCATCTTTTTAATCATCTTGATCATGTGACCAATGGAACTCACATGGAAAACTTCTAAGTATAATTCAGATAATTTTCACCTCATTTTGTGTATTCACTATCAATCTCTCTTTGTGTAAATTTAAAAAAAAATTAAAAACAGGTCAGTTAATTAAGACACAATAACATGCCGAACAAATACTAATTCAGAAGTCAAACAACAAAAATCAGCGTTATATGTTCAAAATTTCACAGGACTAGTTTCGATGGTTTTACCGAACCAACATCCTCAATTGCGCAGCTGAGGGAGGAGGCAGAGTTCCAATTTTTGTGGTTTTGCAGCTGAGGATGTTGGTTCAGTAAAACCATCCAAACTCGTCCTGTGAAAATTTTGAAAATATAACGCTGATTTTTGTTGTTTGACTTCTGAATCAGGTCAGTTATTTTCAAACGCCTAGGACTGGAGAAGAATGAAATAATTGGACTTTATCTGTACATTGCCCATGTTGTATTAATTGTTTTGTGCAAGTCTTGTCTGAAAAGATAAGAATTAAAACGTTCTCGTGTTTTTCAGATGTCGTACATTGAAAGATGGATGTCATTAAATAAATTTGGAAAGGTTCAACCTTCATTGAATCTGTGTGAAACCTCTTGAGGGAAATAAATATGAGTTATTGACAGCAAACTACAAACAGCAAATTAACAATTTTTTATACTTATGTCTAAAGCGTATGTGCAGGAATCCTAGATTGAGTTTTAAAATAGGTCTCGATTATTCTAGGCCATTTGGATTGGGTTTGTTTAATTATGCTTAGCACACAAAAGCTGTCTGCTGCTGAAGGGGAGGATTGACTTGATGGAGGATATTCTAAGAGAAGCTGACTTATAAGCATGTTATGTATGGAAAAAAAAAGAACATAAAAATGCATGTGCAGCCAGCTTGTTTGCAGACATTTGAACCCAGATCAAACTGTCAGTGTTCAGCATTTTATCCACTTTGCTGCTAGGCTGTTTGAAATCAGAGAAATATTTCCAACATTTGAAGATGATTTGGTTTGAAACTGTGAAGCACTCGTAGTTTGCCACAATTTTTTTGGCTGTGGAAACAGGCTGTGGGTGCCTGGGTGTTTTCAGTTATGTAATGAAAACTAGTTTCTTTAGAATGACTTTCATGATGGCACCTCTATCTTTAAACGGATAGTTCTCATGAGATTAAAATGATTTTTCCACTCTGATTCCAGTGTATCAAGCTATTTTGCATCTACTTATATACTAACGCTATTGTATTATTCTGTCTATATAGTTTAACCCAGGTTTTAATTTTGAATGCAATGCATTGATTATATTCTAATAAGTGTTTTTCTGCTTTCTGTGAAAAGAATAAGAGTAAGTTTTTCTTTGAAGTGCTGTACAAAAGCAATTGCTCATTTATTTGAATTGAATGCAGTGCCAAAGTTACATTCATTATCTTTAAATTTGTAGTCAGCGGTCATGTTGTATTAATTTGACCAAAAGTTGCTCGAAGACTCAAAGATTAGATCTTGTATTTCCGAGGTGCACCAATGGAGGAGTGAAGAAAATTGCTGGTCAGGCCTACTTCTCTTGTTCAAAGACTTGGCAGTTGAACAGACAGGCCTCATATTTTTGATAGATACAAATTTCGAATCTTCCAAACAATAACATAGAAGTGTGTGTTTAAGGTGCCCTTTTGTAGAGATGTTGAAATTTGAAATTTTATGTGTTTGCAACATTAAATTTTTTGATAGCCCCAAAATTCTTTATGCATCAGCTAAAATATGGATTGAATCGCATACTTTTAGAAATATTATTTAGTACCAGTTCTGCATGTTGAATTGATTTTTCCAAAAGATTTTTAGTAGGGAAAGTGTAGTATGTATACTAAATTAAACCGTTTTTGTGCATGAGCCTGTAATTAAAGTTTTAACTTTCTTATGTCCTTATGTGTCAAGTGACTGATATTATCATTAATCAAAAGCATACAAAATTTGATTTATTTGTCATCCTAAATTACTGTAAAAGGAAAAAAATAGTAGTTTTTGCATAGTATTATAAGTTACATGTTTTCCTACTTATTGTGAGCAATACCTTATGCCAGTATTATGCATGTTTAATTTTCAGGCTTTTTTTTCCTTTTTTAATTGTGAATGTGTATGAAGTACTATATTGAATTTATACAGGAAGGCAGAGTTCAATTCAAATTGCAGTTTTTTTTATTTTGTCATTTTGCATTAACATACAGCTTGAGTTCTGCATGATGGTTTGAAACGTTTTACTCTGAATATATTATCCTATTTTCAAAATTAACTTCCAGATTTCAAATTTAGCTAATTATCCTTTTTAAAAAATAATTTTATATGGAATTCAAAGTTTTTACTGTTTCAAAATGACAGCATTGTTTGAAAAGCTATAAACGAATGGCTCATAAACACAATGAAAAGTAATGTGATAAAAGGTAAAGTAATGAAAAGTTTTGGTGACCTCTTTCTGAGGTCAGAATTCTATCTTAATTTATAATTCTTAATTATTCTTTCTTTTCTGCTTGCTCTCTTAAAGCTGAGAATTCTTCTGTATCAATTTCTTTTATGTTAATTTAAAGAATGCGATTTGTAAACAAAGTAATTATAATGCATATCCATTAGGGGAAGGTAAACAAAGAAAATGACTGTTCAGCTGTTAGGAAATGTAAATAAAAAATGACCAATTAATAATTAAAATCAAAGCGTGAACACATATAAATTAATAAAAAGTAGATAATTAAAAATACCAGAGCTCAGGCTATAATGATTTCCCTGAAAATGTGTTAAGAATAATTATTGATGGTATTGAGGCTCTGGCTGAATTTGAAATCTGGTGTAATTAACATTAGATTGAAACTAACTTTTGAAATATAAATAATGAGTTTGTCTCTCAGCTAATAATATCCTTTAAGGAGTATTATGCAAATATATAGTTGATAAAGGCGATGCAATGTTAAGTCTTTTTAGCTAACATTTTTTTATAAAAATGAGGCATCAACTGAATACCTAAAATTTAGGCTTGTGATGGTTGGCAGGCGACTGGATGCTTCTCATTTCATTTGAAACAAATTCCGTAAGAATTAGATCAGGATAATGATCTCGTATTAGGATGCGTTTTACTTTGCTTTTCAAAAATTAGTTCTTACCACCTCATTCGAGTGATGCAGTTTGTGTGTTGGTAGACTGCTTCAGCAAGAGAAATTAGCAATTTTAGCTGAGTTAACAAATTCATCAAGCTAAAAAACACAAATCTGTTTTATTGAAAAGTACCTTTAGTCAAATGGTGATTTATTTTATATTGTATTCAAGTTTCATTTCTAAAAATGTATAACTTACTTTTAAATTAGAAAATTTCGAATAAATTAACTTGGTTCTGTGAAAGTGAATTTGATATTTTGTTACAGCACAGTACTGCTTGAACAGGGCTTGATTTTTGTGTATCTCATATTATCTAGGAAATCTTAACACTTGTATATTTTTATTTTTCTAAAATAAGCTAAAAATATTTTTAGAAGAAACCTCATTATCTAAATAAAATATGAAATGACTCTTCTAATTCAATGTAAAATTTTCAGTTGAATGGAGCATTAACTATCGGAACATTAGATGGAGCCAATATTGAAATGAAGGAAGAAATGGGGGCAGAGAACATCTTTATTTTCGGTATGACAGTTGATGAAGTTGAAGATTTGAAGAGAAGAGGGTAAGAAAAATTATACTTTGTTATGAATTTAACATTAATTAAATAAAAGAGCACACATTTTGAAGAGATGTTTTCTCCCGTAGATACAATGCTTGGGATTACTACAATAGACTTCCTGAACTCAAGCAAGCTGTGGATCAGATTAGTGGAGGCTATTTCAGTCCCAATAATCCAGATACATTTAAAGATTTAACTAATATCTTGCTAAATCATGATAGGTAAGGAAATTCATTTTTCTCTCAGTAATTTAAGTAATTTCTTTACTATTGGTTACTTAAATACCATGATAGAGCAATAACAGAAAAAATTTTCTGAATACTTTTCAGTACTTTTTAAAACTGACTCATGTCATTTTTTGCAGGTTTTACTTATTTGCTGATTATGAGGCTTATATTAAGTGCCAAGAGAGAGTGAGTGATATGTTCACGGTAAGATTTTTCTCCCCTAGCTGTTAAGTGTTGTGATATTGTTGTAACAGGTTTTTTGCAAATATTAAATAACAATATTCATAGTGTTTTTAACATGTATAGCGGCAATAAATGAAGAACCAAGTTTTGACATTTTTCTGATGTTCATAAATTATTAGTTTTTTTCAGCAATTGTGTGATTTTATGAGAATTAAACTGGTTTCATTACTTCATTGTAATTTTCCAATATGCAGCTTACCTATTTGTTATCATTAAGGCCCAGGTATTTCAGCCCTGTACCAAATTTATATTTACTCAGTAGAAGATATTAAATGGGAACCCCCAAATTTTATTACAGTTTAACATCTGAAATTTTTACCAAATAGTTTAATATGCACCAATTTTAGAGTTTCTACAAAATATATAAACTTTTACCGATTTTTCACCTAAAATAGGATATAAGAAAATAATTAATGTCTGACTTTTCCATAAAGTTTCTATTCTGAGCATAGTCTTGTAGCTTCACGAAAGCTGCTATCTAGAAGTAGTAATAATGTCCCATTTACATGCAAACGTAACATATGCATGCATCGTTGAAGGTCAGTCCTGCTGTGTAATTACAAAAATAATTGGCCACTCTAATTTTTTTAAGTAATGGGAGAAAAGCTTTGAAATAAAATAATAAAGAATATTTTCCTTTTGAATATACATTTTCTTAGCTCTTCCTTTGTACTAAATAAAATTGGAAAAATAAATAGTAAATTTAATAAAATAACATTTTAGGCTCAAAGGGGTAAAAGGATAACACAAAAATAATCTTGGCATTTTCTTAATTTGTAATTAAAATCATCTGCAGTACATAAAATATGAAATTTTATGGAATTAGTTTAGATAAAGAAGCTAAGCAAAAATCTAAAAATTATTTGCTTTTATAATTCAAATTTTCTTTTTAGAAAATATTCGTAATTTTATGTTTTCTTGCAATGGCTCAGTCATGAAAGAAAACATATTTAGAAACTTGCAGATTAGTAATTGATTTGCATCAAAAAAGGAAAATCTATTAGAAAAATTACTTGGAAATCATGAGTCACTTTTTCTTCCAAAAAACACACACGCATGTAGTAAGAAACACATACACATCACATGTAACGAATTTTATAATCCATTAATTGTACCTACAAACTTCCCACTCTAGTTTTAGAAACAAAATCGGGATCTAAAGCATTGAGGCTGTGGTGCTTCCAAATGTAAAACTACTGTTCAAAAATCGGAAGGTTCATCCATCTCATTAATGTAAATATCAAAATTTATTATAATTTTTAGTTAAAAAGATGATTATCTAAACACTAATAACCTTTGAATTATTGAAAACAAATATAAGATTTCTGTTAATTAAATTACTTAATGCCAATATAAAATTAAATGAATTTTCATTTATTATATTTAAAAATTATAAATATACTGGTGGTAATATATGCTAAAATATTGTTTCCGTATGGGACAAACTAAGGTGGTATTAGAATATTCTAATTTATAAAAGTCGTCCTTACTTTAATAAAGTTTGAGAAGCATTGCCATTTTTCAGATATATAGTCTGAAACTTCAAAATTAAGTGTCTGAATCAATTTTTCTCATATAGGAGACGACATTTTAATTTTTAGGGTAAGTGAAAATTTTTACTAAAAATTATAGGGAGTGAGGAACTGTATACAAAGTTAGGTATTGTAATTTTTTAGCCTAAAGCACATTAGCCCAGAAGGGCTATTAATTTCATTTTGGCATTTTGCGTTGAAAACTTTAAATGTCGGTTCACTTTTTAAACTGTTGCCACCAAATATTACAGCCCTGTATTGTATTTAAAGAATCTGTATAAATGTGTTGTTGCATGTGTACAGTTTCATAATCGATTGAATTTCACAAGTCCGATAAAAGGTTAATAAAATTTTTTCTTATCACAAGAAATATAACAGATTGCTGGATTTTTCCTTAGAGATATTCGTACAATATCACACAATGTAATCACCAGTTATACTTTAAACTACTAAAACATTAAATGGAATGCAGTTTACTATGCAGAGAAAGCTAATCCGATCAATAATAACAGTGGCTAACTAAACAACTTGCAATAACAGTAACTAAGCAACTAAGTCGAGATGCTCTCTCTCTGGCTTTTTAAATTGGATGCACAAGACAATTCTAGCAATTTCTGGAAAGCAAAAAGAGTAGAATTGCAGTTACAGCTAGCACAGTAGTCAATGACATTTATTCAAATTAAATATAAGTTACCTATATAAACTTTTATTCAATGTTAAAAATGCAAGTGTTCTTGTATTTTTACTTTTCCAGCATAGTTTTCTCTTAAAATATGTCTCGTGCTGCATTGCACAGGGAAATAAAATAATTTTAATTATAATTCTACTAAAAAATATCTAATTAAAGACAAAATTCGTAATAGTATGTGTGTTTCTCGCATTGTGACAACTGTACCTAGAGTCTTCAAAGTTTGAATAACGTACGTTTCCACCCGAATATGGGCATGTGGAAGCCCAAATTTGAAATTTATTTTATTGTCTATTTCATATTTTGTAAAAACTTTAATGAATTTTTGATTAACAAACTCAACAATTTCAAAGCAAGAAATGGTAACACTGTACGGATATCTCCAGCGCACGAGACTGTGTATCGGAAATCCTAAAGATATGCTCATTTAAAAATTATTTTGCGATATTGCTGTTGAATTGAATTTTATGGTTTAAGTACGAAGAACAAGATATTTAATAAATAGAGGTAACCCACAAAACGTTAAAAAATGATCCTTTATGCGTAATGTAAAATCTAAAAGCCTTCACATTTTTTCTAATTACATTTTTTTAAATTTAAAAATACCAAAACAAGAATGCAACATTTGAATCAATTTTATAACAGGAAATGTATATCTAAGACCAGTGGTTGCAAAAATAATAATTGTATAAGCACTTCTATGGATTCAGTGTATATTATGTGAAGCTGCTAGTGTCCGCATCTAGAAAATATAAGCTTTGATGTTCGTTTTGTCTGAGTGGAAGGTTTATATACATAAATGATATTTTGGAACTTCATTTTTCGAGAGCTGTATTTCTTTTCCTGAAAATTCTTTTTTTACTTTATGGTGTCATAATAAATTTGAACATGTTTTTACTTGTAAATATTGATAATTATTTTTTATTTACAGAATACTGAAGAGTGGACTAAAATGGCTATCATGAATATAGCATCCTCTGGAAAGTTCTCTAGTGATCGGACAATTGCTGAATATGCTAGGGAAATATGGGGAGTGGAACCCAGTTGGGAAAAACTGCCAGCACCTCATGAGGCTAGAGAGTAAGATTCAATTTATTATGCATTTATTCATTGATTTAATTTTATTTTAAACGAATGTATTCATTTTTCCCCTAGTACAATTTTGTAAATTTTCTTTGATAAAATACACTATCAGGAAAATTCTGTGCTTCTGAAGTTGTTGATAGTGATGAAACTTGTGATGAGACGAAGACGGAGAAGGTATTAAATCTGAATAGCAGTCAATATATTGAGCAAATGCAGGGCCATAATCTCTACATATAATAAAAGGAAGAGTCTCTGTCTGTGTGTCTTTCGTTTGTGCTGCATGTAAGCTAATAGACCCAGGGCTACAAAATTTGGTACATAGGTGCATCTAGATAAAAGCCAATGCACCTTGAAGAGATATTTTTTTTTTTTTTCAAAATTCGAATGAGTTTTTTTTATGATATCTCATCAAATCGATGGCATACAGCCATTGTTGCTGATATATATAACTGTTGCCATTGCTGCCGATATCAGCACTGTTGCCACTCAGAAAAATGAGGGCTATAATTCTGTGCAGATTTTAAGTTTAATATTTCTCTTGGATACTGGACGTTTGTCGAGAGGTACTTGGATACACCATTTGTCAAGAGGACATTTGTTCTCTGGTACATTTAAAAGCCAGACAAAGGCTCGCTGCATAGTCGCTAGTTATATATATTAGCATAATGTGTAGCAGCATTTACCACAAATACATTAGGATATTCGATCTGACAGGGATTCATAAAAACATTAAATGCATTTTTACAGTATTTGCTGTTGATTTTGGAAGTTCAAACACACTGCAGAATAGCTCCAACCAACATCTTGTTGTGTCCCTGTTAGAAACTCAATATAGCAGAGAGTGGTTACTTGCATGCATGAGAATAAATAATACACAACATACCTGTTGGGATTTTGGAACACAAGTGAAGTTTTATTGGTTTGCACAGTTATAGAAGTATATAAAAACAGTGGCGCCATCTATGGGCCAAGAACATATTTAAAGCTAACCTTCTCTACACTCCCACCCACCAGCGGCCGAGCGGTAGAGTCGCTGATCACTGGTAGTTTGGTACGAGGTTCAAATCTGGCGAACGGGCTGGCTGCATGGGTGTTTTCTTTGTTTTCCCCATGTGTAACGTGTATACAAGCCAGTTTTCCTTAGAAAGCCCTCCACGAAGGCATCCCTCCCCTTCGGCAGATAGCCCTCGAGGCTTTGCCGTAATTAAATAACCTTACCTTATAAGGTATTTCTCCCACTTCCCTAGCATCCTTCGTGGTGTAGTGGTTCTGCACACTGGGCCGGTATTCCAGAGGTCCGCGGTTCGATTCCCGGCGAAGGCGTTGTTCATTTTTCATCTCTCTTGCTTCCGAAAAAATCCTAATGACTCTACAACCTAACCTAATCTTTACACTTCCACTTTAGTTTTAAATATCATCATCCTAATTAAATGCAATGAGAAATTGTATCAGCACACATACATATAATAAAACATTAAATTATATTAGTCTTCATTTTAAACCCATCATCTTTGCACACATTTCATGTTTTGCACTGTTTACATTTTTTGTCAAAAAGTCTGCAATCATATCATTAGTAGTCTTATTGTATCGTCAATGTGCTGAAGTTTCACAGCTTCTCGCACGAAATGATGTTGTGTATCAATATGCTTTGATCTACCATGATACACACTATTTTTGCTGCGATTAATAGCACTGTTGTTATCGCAGTATAATAATACTGGCTTTGCAGTAATAATCCCAAGTTCATTTAACAATTTTGTTGAGCCATATGGCTTCTTTAGTAGCTGCAGAAAGAGCCATATATATTCGGCTTCTGTTGTACTAGTTGCTGCAATGGTAGGCTTGACGCTTACTACACCTTGACACTGCACCACCTCCGATGAGGAAAACATATCCAGTGGTTGATCGTCGATTCCCCAGCATAGTTTGAGTCGCTGTAACCAAGGACGCCAGCACTATAGTCCTTTGAAAAAGATAATGTAGCATCTGTAGTGGCTCGAAGATATCGCATGATGCGCTTGACATCATTCCAGTGAACCCTTGCCGGATTATTGGAGAACTGGCTAAGGAAATTCACAGTATAAGTTATATCTGGTGATGTTGCTTCAGCTGTATACAGAAGACTCTCAGTGGCAGCCTGATAAGGAACAGGTAGCTTTTGTTCCTCACTAGTTGGTATCTGCAGTTTATATAACACTTGATTTTGGTCTAGTGGTGTTTTTACACCATGAGATTAATGCGTATTATATTTGTGAGCATACTCTCTACATGCCGAGTTTGACTAAGGCTAATGGACCCTTTAGTTCTTTCTTGTTCAATTTTAATTCCTAAGTAATAATTTACTGGTTCTAAATCTTTAATTTCAAATTTTTCTTTAAGTTGTTGTTTTACCCAATTTTTAAGTTCTATGTTATTACTAAAAATGAGTAAGTCATCAACACAAATAGTGACAATAACTTGTTCTTTATTTCCATTTAATTTGATATAGACACTATTATCAAAAGAACTTTGCCTCAGTCCCATTTCTATTAAAATGCACTAACAGTTGATACCATAGTCTACCACTCTGCTTTAAACCATCTAATACTTTGTTTAATTTTAAGACAAAGTTTTGCTTGTAAAATTCACTGAAACCCTCTGGAATTTTCATATAAATGTCTTCATTTAGAGTTCCCTGTACAAAAGCCATTACAGCATCAATTTGGTCAATTTCCCAATCATATATAGCTGCATAAGCTAATAAAACTTAATGTTACGTATCGGACAACTGGTGCAAATGTTTTAGTATAATCTATCCCCTCAATCTGAGAATAGCCCTTAGCAACTAAACGTGTCTTATATCTTTCAATCTTGCCTATGGAACTAAATTTAATTTTGAAAACCCATTTACAATCTACAATGTTCTTATCATAGGGTTCATCTGTTATTTCCCAAGTTTTCTTTTTAATATGACCTAATATAGTCTCACATATAGAATCCTTCCAATGGTTTGCATCATTGCCCTTTAACGCTTTATCAATGGTTTTTGGTTCAGAATACGCATCATTTGTTGCCGCTGCTAAAACGTTTCAAAGCACATATGATCTAAATTTGGCATTTGCACTTCTGGCATCCCGTGTATGTTAAAGCCCTGATAACTTTTCGGGAATCTTCCGTTTCTGGTCAACATAGGTAGCTCATCAACTTTGCTACTGTTATCGTGGCTATCATTAACCATCCCTTCTAATTCACTATTCTGATCATCAGCTATTGCATTCTCAGTATCTGAAAATGTCATAATCATGCTCCCACTGAGTGAGGATTCATCATAAAATTTGGGCATATTGCCTTTTTGTAATACATTTCATTTTCTAAAAATTGTACATCTCGTGCATTTATTATTTCAAAAGTTTTGAGATTTATTAATTGATAGCCTTTTCTATCCTGACAGTACCCAACAAGGTATTTGACGGCATATAAGACTCACTTTTTTTCCTAAATTTGGTCTCAAAAAAGTTACCTGCGTCTCATATGTGAAGGACACAGTCTTATACGTGAAGGTAATTGCATTCAATAATTGTTTATTTGGCTTTTACGAAACGTGAGAACTAAAAGAAACCATGCTATTGGAACTTTTTTCCCTTGTGTGTGGCCATCTAAATAAGGGTGCGTCTTATATGCCAGTGCGTCTTATATGCCGTCAAATACGGTATTCTAAATTTCTCAAGTATTTTAAATTTGGGTTATCACCATGCCATTTTTCATAAGAAGTCATACCTGCAACTGCAATAGTTGGAGATATATTTTTACAGTGATTTGCAGTGCTTCATCCTAATAATTGTGATCAAGGTAAGCATCCATTAACATTGATCATGCTCGCTCAACAAGAGAGTTCTGTTATTACGTTCAGCTACACCCATTTGCTCTGGTGTAAATGGAATGGATTTTTGATGCTGAATTCCATTTGATACTAAATAGTTATCCATCTCGTTGTTTTACATACTCAGTACCGTTATCTGAATGTAAGATTTTTATTGATTTGCCAGTTTGCCTTTCAACAAATGCTTGGAATATTTTGATTTTTTCAGACTTCAGATTTATTTTTCAAAAAATAAACAAAAGTCATTCTGGACAAATCATCAATAAAACTAATAAAGTAGCGAGAACCACCAACTGATGTAACATTCATAGGCCCACACAGGTCACTGTGCACTATAATAACTCTTTTGCTCACTTAGTTTTTTCTCTTAGGAAATGGTTGTCTATGCATTTTGCCTTTAATGCATGACACAATTTAACAACTTTCCATTAAATGTAAAAACCTTCGACCATATCTTTTAATCTGATCATTTCTCCTTCACTTAAATGACCTACTCTTTTATGTAATAATTCATTTGAAATATTTTAGCAGTAATTAAAGCTCACTCATTACATAAATCGAAAGAATACAAATTATCTCCAATATCTGTTCCACTAGCAACTAAATGTTTACCGTCATACACAAAACATCTTTTACTTGCAAAAGTACTAACCATTCCAAATACTTTATTTAAATACTTAATGGACAGTAAATTGGCTGTTAACTCCGGAACATGTAAAGCATTACTAAAAGTTAGACTCCCTTTTTTTTATTTCTAGATAAGAGGAAAGTTATTTTACCCTTACCCTCTACTTCTATCACTGAACTTCCTGTTTTTTATTTGATGAATACTAGCATCCTGATAATCATCTAATAATTCTTTATGTGGAGTCATGTGGTAAGAAGCACAAGAATCCATGTACGAAATATTAGATTTAGCTACATGAATTTCTGCTACATAAGCTTCTTCCCCTTTTTTATGTTTTAATCCAAGATTAGACATTTTGTTAAGCTTGTTTTCATTATATCTACCCTTTCTGAGAGGTGACTTCTCACAATTGGAGCTTTTGTGCCCAAACAAATTGCATTTAAAACATTTTCCTTTAAAGTACCTTTTGCCTCCAATATTTGTATTAACAAATGCATATTCAAGCAATTTTTAACATTTTCAACTGTTATTGCCTCACCACAATTTTCAAAGCCATTATAAGAGATTCAAACCTATCAAGTAAATTAGCTAAAATTATTCCTCCAATTAATTCATTAGGTTTAACACCAGTGGATTTTAATTGTTGATAACCTGAAATGGCCTTATGTAAATAGTCGGACATATCCTTGCTCCTTGCAATTAGTATAATAGGTATTCACTAATGTTTTAATTATTGAAACCTTTCTTGTGATTCCCTTATCCTCGTATGTTTCAGCTTATACTTTCCATGCTTCCTTTCCACTTGTTAAATCTCGTATATCATTGAAAATAATTTCACTTACCCCTTCAACTATATATGACAAAGCTTTGATAGATCTTCTTTTGTACCCTCTACATAAGCCCATAAATCTAATTTGATTAGGTGCATTTTCATGGAAAATTTCCAATCCATGTAATTTTCCCTTCCATTCAATTGTTTGTGACTAAATGAACCTTCTCTCCCTGGCATTTTTCTTTTTTTAACTTTAATCAACAAGAGATAAAAAAAATTATAATTTGAGATAAATTCAAATAAATTTCATTCTCAAAGAAACATTTGCCTAAATAATTAACAATCAAGAAATATTTGTACTAGTTAAGTTTTTGCAACCATGTGCTTTGGCTAACCCTAACATAACCATGTGGCCAATTTTGGTTAAAATAATTCTAAAAATTTACAAATAGAATTAAATAAACAACTCATTAGATTATTTATCCTCATTTCTTAATCTGGGCTGGACCCATAACCTGTTAGAAACTCAATATAGCAGAGAGTGGTTACTTGCATGCGTGAGAATAAATAATACACAACATACCTGTTGGGAGTTTGGAATGCAAGTGAAATTTTATTGGTTTACTGCGATACTGCTGTGTTGTTCTGGGTATCTATTGCTGTGGCAATACTACCCAGACATTTAAAGTAGAAAATCTAAGCAGTGTAAAAACCTGAATATTTTTTCCTCTAACGGGAAGATATGATAAATACGAGAGAATACGGTGCCTCATGTACGTTTGCTCGAACACATATGTATGTATGCACATTTGACACACTTTTGATCATGAGTACATGCATTTTACCAATCATCAAAGGCTTGTCATGTATCATACTGTATAGGGCCACCACCTTGGTATGCTTTCACCAAAATCTTTAGATACAATAGGTTAATATGAATTACCTTCCTACCTTTGTTGCATTTATTTAGAGTGCAGCAGGGAATGCAGTGTGGTCCCTATTCCTTGCTATCTAATAAATTTTTTTTTTGAAAACTAGAGAAATAAGTTTATCTTGTATTGCAGCAGTTTTAGCTTCTGGGGAGGAAACAATGAATTTCTATTTTGATTTTCTTGTCTTCTGGCAAGATACAAGAGTGATATTTGAGCTCTTTGCTATTAAGAATAGATGTCGGACCATCAGACTTCAATTTCATTGTGATCTTTGGTAATCCTTTTTTCTGAGAAATCCTCGATATTGACATCGTTCACCGTTAAGTTAATTTAGCTCAACTGTTAGTAGAATCTTGAATTATTACTGAACAGGCTTGAGTTTTTCGTTTGAGTTTGGAGTCTGTAAGGTCTATCTTAGGAATATTTTCATTTCGTTGTAGTACATCAACAGACTCCTTATTATTGACTTTGTTAGAGTATTTAAGAAGATCATTAGTTCTTGATGCTTCCTTGTGGGTTTGAATTACTTAAGAGTGGAGCAACAGTCATCAGCTTAGTAAAGATCTCTTTGATATTCGCAGGTGGGTGTTTTTGAACCTTCAGTTTTAGCTTGCCATCAATGATGTCTTTGCATCTAGTAGTAATATTGATTTTGCCATCTCCTATCTGATTTAGATGATAATTATTAACAGAGGTTAAGTTTTTATCATCTAATGTTATACCTTTGAGAGCTAGATGTGCTTTTTGATGGGACTTGCAGATCTTTCATTTTTAACTGCTGTGAAAGGAATGTTTTCCTTCATAGCTGTCACATGTGGCTACAGTATTAACAGCATTCACCTGACTTTCCTTTGCTGCCTTCAGTCATCTAGAACATTTTGCATTTTGGTGCAGAGGCTAAGGTTTGGCATCTGTTCGCAGCAGACAGATAATAAAACCTTTACAACAAATTTTAATTTTGTCATATTTGACGTTCAAGCCTTCCTAAAAAATATCCTCTTTTTCTATCCGTAACAAAATCTAGGAAAACAGGAAGAACAGAAATCCTAAGGAAGAGGATTTCTGGGCCAGGTAAAATTCCTCTAACACCCACACCATAAGAGTAGATATTCTGTGAAAATTGCACCCTCGAATTCAAACAGTACTCTGGAATGAATTCAGAAAAAGCAGCTGGATGCTATTTGAACAAGACCATAACAAATATTCTGACATGGAAAGAAGCAGTGAAAATAAGTTCTGCAATGATACAATACAGTAGCACTGTAATGGGTGCTTTGTTATGTCTCAGCATCAAGACAAAATAGGCATAAATAAAAGTTAGTGCATGCTTCTACTTTGGATGGAAATCTTCACCCCAATCAATTAGATATAAACAATGGGCTAGATGTGGTTAAAGAAAAATGATTCCTGTAAACATACCTGATGTTCTGTTTAAATTTTTACATTATTTTTCAAAAGTTGTATACTTCTTGGCTTTTTATGTAATAGATATTTTGTAATTCTTCTTTTCTTTCTAATTTCAGATGAATCTAATCGCTTTACCTGCCTCATTTGTTATTGTGATGTTAAAAGATTTATTCATAAAATTGCACATTATATGGTTTGTTTTAGTCCAAGCTTTTTTGAACAAAGTGCTGCTGTGAATGCATCCTTGCCATATAAAGCTCCAGAAACTGCTCTGTCGTCATATTTTAGAAGACAAATATATGCAGTGTAATATGCTTGTAGCTATTTTATGTAATATACATGCTGAATTATTTAGAAAAATGTTACTATATGCAGACTGACTGTATGAATAATTTTACTGAAATCATTAACAAGTTCTTAAAATATTTCAAGGTAAAATTGCTAAAATTTATTACTAATACTTAGTTGTCAACTTAAAACTATATACTCAATTCTCTACATTCTAAGTTTAATTAATGAAACTATCCATATTGGGAATGTTTTTTCCTCTAAAATAGCAATATTTATTGTTCATGTGGATGTTTGTGCTTTGTTAATTCATTAATTTAAATAGATTTTATAATGTTCTCTGGAGCAAATAACTCATGCATTAGGAATACCATAAATATTTTGTACATAGATCTGTATTGTTGAATTTATAAAAATTTAATGTTTTCTTCAACACATATAATTGATTGCATTTTTAAGTTTAATTAAAGTTACAAAATTTTATTAAACTGCAAGCCTCCTTCATTTTCCATGACATTCTCAGTTTCATTTCATTTTTTGTCTTGGCATACTTAAGTTTCAGTGTATTTCTAGAAATTTTGAGCTAGATTAAAGCTATTTAATTTTATATTGATGAATACAATTTCATTCTTTTAGGTTGCAATGAACTCTTACACTTTTCACAGTAATATCTGTAAATATGTAGTATTTACATTGTTGTGTACTAAAATTGAGAAACACTGCTATGATAAAGCCAGATATTAGAAAAGTAATACAGTCAAAAGTCGTTAATCCGGACTCGTCGGGACTTCGGCGATTCCGGATTATCGATTTTTCCGGATTATAGATCATCAGTTTAAATCTCGTAAGATGGCATACACAAATTCTAAAATTAAAAATATGAAACCGTATTTTAGGAAATAAAGAACAATTATGATCTAAAGGGTATCAAAATTTACAAAAAAAAGAAGCTTAATATTTATTTGTTTACTTTATTTAACATTTCTTTCAATGTAAGTTGTTTCGTTTTATGTGATAATACTTTCTCTTTAATTCTATAAACAGACATAATTTCTTCTTCAGTTAAAAAGCTCCGCTGTGCAAGTCCCGTAATTGCTGTGCCGAGAATACCGACTAACTTGTCAATCGAAATTTTTTCATTTTCACTAACCTCTCTGTCACCTTCTTCATGTCTTTATCCATTTTTTGCAGCAATTCCACTTTTTGTTTGACGGACATCGAGACATACTTTCGTTTTGTAGATCCTTTGGGAGCTCCAAAATCGGAAATTGACATAATCGAAAGTTCAAGTTTACTTTTATAAAATTGCTCTTACAGTCTGCAAAAAATAATAAGCTGCATCCAATTCGAAGATTAAGGAATAACGCAAGCATCAATATTAACTGAAATAGATAATTGTATAATTTTAGCTTATACCGTTCGTTATACGTTAAACGTGCACGCGAAAACGTATTCTGCACTTACGCACACGCATATGCGCATGTGTCAACGTGGCGCATGCGCAGAAAGTTTTTAGCTTTGAGGTCCGGATTATAGATCATTCCGGATTATGGGTGTCCGAATTAACGACTTTTGACTGTAGATGTTTTCCTTTTTTGTAGTACATTCAAAACTGATAGCATCTTCTGTTTCACAAAACAGTTATATAGTTAAGCTTCATAAAATTTAACAATCCATTTAGAAGAGTGCCTGCAATTAATAATGTAGTTAATTAGTTTCACATCACGATGATAATTAACAATTTATCATAAAATTTAGATAAAGCAGCAGTTGCTTTGGTCAAGAGTGAAACAGGCAAATACTTTTTAATTGAAAACATATTAATCAGTTTCTATTTCTCAGTCTTATTTCAATGAGCACATGTCAAAGTGCTATTTAAATACTATAATAAGAATGGAAATATTATTAAAATATAGAGAAAGAAGTTACGCTGAACAAATCTAAATATTTTTTAAAGTTCATTTTCTCGAAACATATTTTACTAGCAAAAGGAATAGATAATCACTGGCAATAGCAAGCTAGTTAGGTGTTTGAATAAACATGTAAGGGTTGAGAGCTTCAGAAAGTATCTTTATTAGAGGCTATTGTAAGTAAAAATGATTTGCATTAGCAATAGATATGTGGGAATCCATGAAAACACCTTTCCAGCCTGGTCTGTTTCACTGAAACTACTAGTACCTCAGAAGAAACTGCCGGTACTCCAATGAAATTTTTTAATCAGCCATTGGCTGTTATTTCAGTTGAGGGTTGTTGCTGAGAAACAAATCCATGTGCCTGCTTTGTAAATAATAAAGTTACCTGAATGACAGTGAAAAATTATGTAAGAATAGGAATATGTATTATGTAGACATTTCGTGATATTGTCAACTAATCTGTGTTCATTACCTTTTGTTGCATAACATGGCTATACACTGATAGGAAAACTTAAATGAAAGCTATAAAACCTTGCAAAGCTTCTATGATTTTTCAGCTAAAAACATGAAACTTACTCAAGATCATTATTTTGTCATGCCTGATACATTTTCAAATTGCAGAATTGGCTATTTCTGGGAAACAAAATTAAATGTGATACAAAGTAGGGCTGAGAAAAGTTGGTGCTACAACTTTTTAGAGATGCATAGAAAGGTTAATATACATATAACCAAAATGCCAGGTAATGTTCCTGTGATCAGAAAATGTATTCATGATGATGGTGTGGTGTGGTGTATTTAATTACGGCAAAGCACACTAGGGCTATCTGCCTAAGGGGAGGGATGCCTTCGTGGAGGACTTTCTAAGGGAACTGGCTCGTATACACGTTACACATGGGGAAAACCACGAAAACACCCATGCAGCCAGCCCGTTCGCGGGATTCGAACCTCAGACCGAACTACCAGTGTTCAGCAACTTTACCGCTCGGCCGCTGGTGGGCTCTGTATTCATGATGAAAAGTACCTAAAGCTCCTGAAAGTGCTACCTAGGTACTCAGTGATGCAAATTTGCATCCTAATATGTCTCACGCCTATTCTATCAGATTTAAGTCTGTAGAATATCCAGCACAGTTCATCCTCTGTATTCTTTTGCTCACAAGATAATCATTAGTGCAGCAAGATGAGGATGAGCATTATCGTCCATTAAGAGGAAGTTATTGACTCTTCTCCAAACAACTTAACACAAAGATAAGGAATCTCTCGTTTCTATATTTCAGCATTCATAATTGCAATTTAAAAAATGTGTGGGTCAGTGTGGCCATTCAAAATGATTGTCATACCATGATCCCACCAGATGTATGCCGACAGCTTTTATGGATGTTTAGACTTATTGAATGTACTTTGGGTTTTCCAGGTTATAACACATCAGGAGTTGCTGCTGAAACAAAAACAAGACTGATTAGTAAATAGTCACTAGTCTATGGTACTCTAAATGCTATTTCTGTACCACTTGCAACCATGGCTTTTTGTGGCCCGAATGAATTTAATACAAACCACAGATTTCCATGCATATGGCTCTTTTATTCTGTTTGTCATGCACATTATATCCGGACAGTCGAGTTCTGTAGCTCTAGTGAACTACCTTGCATTCTAAGCTGATGCCAGTTGTCTTTTAACAATAATTACCAAATAACCGCTGTGACAGTCCACTGTGGCATGTTTTCAACATTGACCTGATTGTCTAAATGCATCACTAACGTCTTCAAATCCTTTCCAGATTCCTGAAATGACTCTTTTGGCTACTCTTTGGTCTTTACATATGTGAGTCAGTGTCTGACCTACTTCCATTCCTTTTTCTTACAATCCATGCCTTTTCAGCAATATGGTCCACCTTTTGTACACGAAACTTTTATCCAACTACTCACACAATCCTTAAAATTAGAATATGAATTATCCCTTGTACTCTACACATAAAGAAAGAGTGGGCACAAAAATTTCCATACTTCTTTGTAGCAAAGGTGAATCCCATTAGACTACATGGTAACATGGTCGTTGAGCTACCAACCACATACTTTTCATTGAATTTCACTTAATAAAATCAGCATAATGCACCTCTTAAATTTTTTCACACTAGTGTATCATTGCAATGCTGCGAGTTGCAGATCATTTTGTAGGTTACTTATGTTTAATATTTGGAAGTTCATCCTTATTTTGGTTAACTCGAGAAGACAACTGTTTTTGCTTGTTATGAAATTTTTTCCTCAATTCCTCTCTGCCCATGCATTAATGGTGAAAGTTGCTTGTTTAGTTGTTTTCTATGACCTCTTAAATTTTTGCCCATAAGTTTCAGAAAACCGTGTATTTTATGGTGATTCAAATATCCTGTAAGGAGCTTTCTCATGGCTTATACATTAAGTCTACTGATCACAAAATAATTCCTTGTCAACTGGTTAAAATCGGGCAAAGCATTAGATGGCATGTGCCTAAGGGAAGGGATGTATTCATGAAAATTGTTTGGAGGTTAAACTCGTTTTTATTTATTTTTGCATATATGAAGGAATTTGGGAAAACTTCACACAGCCAGGTGCTGTGAAAGGAGTCTGGAATGAACTACTAATGGTTCATTGCCTTAACCGCTTGACACCCGGCAATTTGAAACCTCACTGAAAGTTCCAGTTTGTATGAAATTTGGTTCTTCCTAGCGTCGTCAGTTTTAATCGATGGTTTTCGTTTAAGATAAGAGACTTTCAGATAAATTATTAACTCAAGACACAGGAGTTGTTTAGATTTTAGAATGGTTCCAGGGGATAATAAGTTTTGCAATTTTGAATGGACATTCAGACATAAGATATTAACCCCAGAGAATATATTGCTAATATAATTTCTAATTGTTGAACGAATTCCTTATGAGAAACTTTTATCCGGACAAAAATGGAAAGTTTATAAATGACTCCAATAAAAGGAGATCCATTTATTATCACCAAACAGGAGGAAAAGAAATTTTAAATCATGGTTCAAAGAATCTTTTTTGAAAGAAAAGTTTTTCAAAGGGATTTATAATTGTTGCTGGTTTTTCATATAACGGCAAATTAAAAATAAAGAGAGGAAAAAATGTTAGGATTGATTCCGCATATTATGGGGACATACTTTATACCCATTTTTCAAACATGGAAATACTTTCTCTTTACTCACAGTGTCATCAATGAGTAGAGCTGCATTAAGACAAAAGAAGAAGACACACTTCAAATTCCACTGTTAATTTCCGGGGGGGGGGGAAATGGAAGAAACGATTATCGAGGCCATACCCTTCACTTATGTCCCTACCAAATCTCCTGATGTATCATCCATGAATTTCATCATCAGAGTCGTAGCTAGGGTTTTCAGCGCCCAGGGACAACTGAAGATTTCGCGCCCCCTACTGCTTGCCAAGGATGGAAAACATTTAATTCTAAAATGTCGTAACATCAGTTTGGCGCCCCTTGGATTCTGAACAGATGAGAAAAGATGCCCCCATTGCCCCTCCTCTAGCTACGCCCCTGATCATCATCCATATTGCCGGGATATTGCTGTTTTGACGC